AGAACTATTGCCCCTATCCAAAAAAATATTTTATGAGGAAACAACACGAATCCAAAAGCAGATATACTTACACAAAGGAAATTGTTAAAGCTAGCCTCTCGTAACACATCTGGCAGGCAACTTCTTAAAGCATCACAAGCCCTGCACAATAAACGACCAAAGAACAAGTTTAGAGTACTAATGAAAATATGAACCCAACCCAATGAAAGAGAAAAAGCCAAGGCTGTGGAGAAGAATCAAATGATTGCATCAAAGATAGCATAATCCAACCTTGGATTATCTGACAATCGAAGATAGCAACGAATGATGTGTTTCAAAAGGCGTGATGAGGGTTGATCAGCCAGTGCTGTAACCATGGTCCCCAAAACTCGACCTACGGCAAAAAACCGTTCTGCTGTAGTACAAATATAGTCCAAGCCCATATCATCCAACAAAATCTTCTGAACTATAAATGTGGCTACCTGCCATAACAAGACCCCTTGTCAGATAACTAAGAACTTTTAAACCATCCCCATGCATCAGAGAGAGGGGCCTTCTAAAAAGGAAAATGACATCCTTTAAGAATACGGTTCTTCTGCAAAAAAATTAGATATCAGATAGAAAGCATTCCAAACAGAAATTTAATCAAATAATCAGGACACTCAACTGTTTTTGAGAGTTCACTGCCCAATTCCATAGTGCGAAGGCACAGTGGAATTATTTCTGTTGACAGAAGGAAACTAATAACTTCAGTATCATCAACCTGGCAAAAGGGAAGAAATGAAACAAAAATAACAATATAAAACTATTAATGTCATAAGAGGGATGGAGAATGTGGTTGTAACAGTAATATGACAGGGAATCAGCTATTCCCTTGTGTTAATTAAAAATTCATCAGAGCACTCAAGTTTATAACATCAATAAATAAAATGGTCAAGAGAAGTTATCCGATAAAAAGTACCTTCACCAGGGCACCAATGACTCCTAAACTCGTAAGCCTTAAGTACTCAAATGGTCTTGCCTTGCTTGATGTATTGAGAAAAGGATACAGATATAAAGGTATATGAGCTGCAATAGAAAAGTTCAATAGGAAGAATAACTTAGAGGTGAATAAGTTAATGTAAGTATTAGCATCTGCATTAAGCTGCCAGCCATAAATATTCCTTTTCATAAGCAATACGCACAAGGAGAGTTACACAAAAAAGCGCATGACAAACATAACAACTTATCATGAAATGCACACTTAAGCAACAAAGAAAAAGGGGAAGACATTAATTTCTAACATAAATCAGAAAAAAAGACAATGAAATGCCAGTGGATGGACTTGACACCTCCCTTTATATCATGGGGCTTGGTCAGTAGTGATTAAGTACCTAATACCATGTCAAGCAACCAACACCCATGCAACCATATACTTTGTTTGTAAGGTATGCATACCAAGCAAAGAAGAACATGCTCAGAGGGTAGAAACACTTATAACAAGGCTATAAGAGAAAACAAGGGAGGTGACATTCAACCTGAAATCAAGGCATCAAAGTGATTGCAACCAGAACTTCAAATTTTAAACAAAGATATATGTACCATATTATATCTAGGTTAAAATTATCTTATTCAGTGTTATGCTGTCATACACTGCATATCCATATCCGTGCTTCATGAGAATAAATCAAACTTTTTAATACACTGATGTTTCTAAGTAGACATGAACTTCTTTGGGGAAAACAAATCTTCTAAGAACATAAGAATTAAAAACTTCCATTTTTTAGCTTGCAAAAACATTATAATGAAGATGTTGTAGAGAAAATAACAGTTACTGAGGAACAACATTCTTAAGCAAAACAATATAAGCTATATAGCATCATATTGAACGGGTAGGTAACTTTACTTTACATACTATAAAAATAAAAGAACAAATTACCATTGAGGAACAACATTCTTGTATCTGGGTGGGAAGCTACGCACTGCAAGAAAATATAAAGCATAGCACAACATTATCAGAATCGATTTACCAAGGAAAACATAATTGATCTTTGAATCTAAGCAATATCCATGGTAAAGAAAATAAAACTATTTGCATAATCATCATATCCAAATTTCAAAAGATAAACACGACTTCTCCGATTTTGATTGACATAAATGCGGGCCCTTTTCTTATCGTAAACATGGGCCTTCTAAACAGAATTCAAATACTCAAGCTTAAAACTCAGTCCCCAAGTTAGTTAAAAAAGAAACCGTAAAAGAGAAGTCAGAATGTGCTTCTCATACGGATGATTTACAAAATCATAAGTATAAAAAAAAATAAATAAATAACATAAGTATACAGCTAGTAATATAACATAAAATTGATACTTGAAACAGGAAAGCATGTGACCTGAAGAAGAGCAAGAGCATTGCAAACTCGATTGGATTGTGCCGGAGTCAGATTTGGTGGTGATAGAACAGGGTATATTGAAACTATCTCCTGCAAATATAAAAGAAACCGACATCAGAGAATAGTCCCAATAAGCATCCATAAAAAATGAAATGTCAAAAAACCTTAACATATGAAAATCACACTCCTAAATTTAATCTAAAAGTTGTGCTAAGTGAGTAAAGCAAGGTAGCAAAAAGTCATCAATGAGTGAAAAACTGTTAAGGAACTTCCTTCAATGAACTTAGTTGAAAAAATGAGATGGACAATGTATGATAACCATGCATCATGTACTATCCCAAGCTACCCACTTAAACAACGTACCTGTAAAAGTGCAGCAATAGTACCAAAAGAATTCCACAATACAGGAGCCAAATCTTGAAATAATTCTCTCGTCTAAAAGTAAAAACAGAAGGAAACACAAGTACCTGGATGAGTGCAGCAATAGTACCAAAAGAATTCCACACGAAAGGAGCCAAATCTTGAAATAATTCCTTGTTCTAAAAAATGAAACCAAAGGCACACAGAGTTTATATAGAAGCATATCAGTGTTGTAATATACATTGCATAACCACCTATAGGAAAAGTCACAGGCACAAATAATTAACTATAAAATCTGCTGTAAAAGAAACCTACGCAAGCTTCCCTGTAATCATAAACATATAACATATATTTGTTGAAAACATATAGTGTATCTATCAAGATGCTCCAAGTGGCTTATGGGTCCTATGTAATAAAGAAAAGGGTAAAATTTTGAATGCCCACTTATACTGATGCAACAGTCACGCTTCCGAATCGAGTTTCTCGCTACAGAAAATAAATGCACTTTTCCTCCTCTTGTTAGTTATAAAAATGAGACAAGTAAATAAGGAAATGACATAAATAACAGTCAATTACATCCAAAATTACAAGCCTATGACTCGGTGCTTCACTCTTGATATAGGAAGTGACAATGAAAACTTGCAAAAGTTACCTTTGAAAGTTCAAGAAGCGCGTTTTCTCGAAGATCAGGATTACTCAAGTCAAGCACCAAGCGCTCTGCTGATGCCATTTTACGATCTTTGTTTGCTTGAGCTCCAGCAATGCTTGGTGCTGAAACGCTTGGACCTCCGAATGGAACATTTAATGAAAGTGACTGGGGCCGGTTTGCCATTAATTGCAACACCCTAAATTCTCACCACTCGGGTATTGAGACAGATTTTATTATCAGGTAGGGTTGCCAGACTGCACTTTGACGTACTTAATTCAACTGATTATTCAAAAGAGAGAGTAAGTAAGGAAGTAAAGGGCCGTAAACAGAAACCATTAGCGAGAGGGAGAGCATGAGAACTTTATACGGTTACCAAATATTCAAATAACATTACTTATAAAGTGCCTATTACCAAAACAGGCACTGTGTATAAATTGCAAGAGTGTCAGAGATGAAGTGCCAAAATTGCGATGTTTGGCAGTCCCAAAAAAACAAAACCTATTGTGAATTGAGTAACTGATGCAAAATCTGTTCTCGTTGGTAAATCCTTTATATACAAATAACAGTTTATTTTTTTATATTTTGACATTAAGAAGACAAGAAACGGAACTCTCCGCGCAAAGAAGAGGGAGAAAAAGGTTGCAAATTTATTTCAGATAGATGTTTAAGCAATTGAATATCAAGTTATCAAGCAAACCTAATTCAAGTGGGAGATTTGAATTCTTTAACATCCTGGGTTCGTAAATCACCCCAAATCGCTCAGGAACAGAAAGGAGGAGGGGGAAATAGAGCATGCATCAAGAACACTTATTAAATTGCTGCCACGATTGCATGAAATGAAGAGAAAAATACGCCACCCAATTAACATTTACAGCATAACCACCTAGTTTACAAAATCAATTACGCATCACTGGTTTGAATTGAACATGAACATCTGCTTACGATTAGAGTAATGCAACTCAAGATACAAAAAAACAGATGAAATCCGTCATCAACTTTTCCGAACAACTAAATATATAGATTCACTGTCGACGTCAAAACATGAATTTAATAATTAAATATAAAATTAAGAGATGGAGGGAGGAGGAGGAGGAGATGGTTTGGTGGCCGGTGCCTCACCTAAAGAAGAAGCCTGTGGCGGACAATGGAATGGAGACGTTGCTGATCTTTCTCTCTCTCTCTCTCTCTCTATGCTCCCTGTCGCTTTTTGTTTATGTTTCTCAATTTGGGCTTGGGTTTGGGATTGGGCCATGTGTGATGCGAGTGCTCAACTTTTACACTTACCAAAAGGTGCCTTGAGTTGGCCCACAGTGGTTTATTGTGCCTTTTTTTTTTTTTGTTGTTGTTTAACTAAGGAGCATTCGTTACTTAGTATTGCAATCTAATGATATTCTTTTTCACTTATAAATGAGAGATCTTAAGTTCAATTCTCACTAAAAGCCAATTAGAACCACATTACTGTTAGCCTATTATGAGGCTTAACCCACTCCATCACCCCTTAATATAGATAATATTGACTACAACTGGAGATTATTGTACTAGTCGCATGATGCAGTTTCAGGTCATGTAATGACTTATGATTATATGTATTCCGCCCTAATAATCTCCAAAACCTGATTGGCTTAAAAATAGACAAATTACTAAAGTTGGGAATTTTCCGTTTCCTCCAAATTAAAGCCTTATAAATTGGTTGATAAATTCTGTAAATAAATGGTACAACAGGAATCAGGGATGGATGCATTCTCTCACCAATGCTTTCACCGAATATGAGCCGCTCCAAGCCTCCAAGCAACCACTAAGCTGCAGGAGGCAATGAAGCAATCCGTCTCCCTTGTAACCCATTTATCAGTTCAACAAGACGACACTATTCTTGATCAAGTGTGGCAAGAGAAACTCATCCATGCCTAAATACCAAGGATTAGGATCTTCACTTTACAAAAGGCACCCCGGAAGGAATCCGTCGGCCATATTCCTCGTACTGCGACCCAAAAAACTGCCTCAAGAAATACTCTTCATACGGAATCCTTTGCGCAAAGAAGCGCCAAACTACAAGTACAAATGCAATTGTTGATATGGGATTACAGAGCATTATCTGAGTACCCACCGACCATATGAAGAAACCACAGTAACCAGGATGACGAACAACTCTATAAACTCCATTCGTAATCAATCGGTGATGCTCTGAGGGATGAGTCCTTATAAGATGTGTGAAGGACTGACCAGGCCGTAATTATTGCCATCTTCCGTATGATTTCGCCTATTATGACCATTGCAAGGCCTAAGTTGCTGACCCACCAGTGTTCCTTCAGACCAGGGAACAAAATAATTTCAACACAGTACTCCAGCAAGGAAAAAACCATGGCAAGAAGATAGCTTTTGCTGATCAGAAGAGACTTAAGAGTAACGTTTGATTTCCCGTGAATGCCAACCGCTAAAATGTATTCAGAACCATGAAAAAAGATTACTGCCAGGAACATCTGAGACAACTGTCTGCAGGCCGTGTAACTGAAGAGATGCGCCATGTTTGGTACAATAGAGCGAATCAATATTTGGCTCTGATTTACTGTAGTGAGACCTAAGAGGATGAGGTTGTAGCAATCTTTGTCCAAAATCTCTAATTGAAGAAATAAATAAAGGTTATGGGGTTTACTTCAGACCTGGAAAAGATGAACCACTACATGATGTTGAAGCCAAAAAATGTCCTTTGACATCACCCCAAATATGCTTCAACACGGACATATCCTGCACAAAACAAGATCAAGAAGGTTGAGAACAGTTCAAATTTCCAGGAAATTACTAGGATGCTGATATGCCAAAGATCTTAATGAACATCAACTATGAAACCATACGTGCAGATTTTGAGCAAAACAATCAAATCTCATCGAATTATTCCCAGTAGAGCCCTCTGCGAAACCGCAAACTCCCCTCGCCCAACAGAATTACGGAAGACTAAATATCAAAGTTGGATTTTCGTCCCAGGTAAGTTTTAAATTAGGCCAACAACTGGTTCAAGCCCTCTAGAATTTGAAAACCATTCTCTTTTCAATTACACAAATGCAACAAACAATCTGACAGCCCACTTACATGGAAATTAAAACACAAAATCAATCAAATTTCAATATTCCAATTTTCTGATTTCTAATTTCAATTCACGACTAACAAATTACGACCCGCAACTTAGCAAAAAGCGTCGAACCTGAGATCTAATTAAACCCATGAAATTTGAAAAAAACAAAAACGCATATAATCTTAAAAACAAAAGGAGGATTATTTCGAATATATTGGCATTCTAATTATTTCCAATTCAACTACCACAAAAAAAAAAAAAAAAAAAAAATAGTGTTAGAGAAAGATTACCTGATGATAATTGATACTGATATTCTGATAGGTACTAATCTGTTTGCGTTTGCAGGGGATCTACAGTCACCGTGGTGTTCAATTTGTGGTTGTGGGTGAGCGAGCTTACCAAATCCAGTTCAAGATCAAGGAAGAAGCTTTTTTCATGTATGGTTTTTCTTTCCATCAAAGCCCTCGTTCGAGTCAGTCCTCACTCCTCAACTCTAATACGATCAAATTACGTTCTCGTCCCCACGTTTGAGCCAAATTTCTTTCAAGTCCTTTTATTGTCAAAATTATCATCGAAATATTCAAAAAACCACGGATCGATATGAAAAAAATGGATGAAATTATAAACTTCATCCTACATTGGCGAGATTTAAGAAAAACAATGAATATCAATGATATTTATCAACTTTTGAACTTTTTTAGATAAATTTTTCTCTAGTTTTGATAACTTGAATGAGTTGATCACTCAACTAGGCTGCAAATCACCGTATTGTTTAGAACAAGCTTAATGTTTAATTTATAAGCTTTCCTCCGAACAAAAAGAAGATGAACGATAGCACTTATCGTCCTTCAAGTTAAACTCAAACGGCTGAAATCTGATAAAATTTGAAACAATCAATTATCAAGTAGTTCTGTCCTGCTACACAACAGCATTCGCGTTTCTCAGAGTCCCATATGGCATATGGGAAATCAAACCTAGAAATCTAAATGGGCAAAAAAACAAACGCTCGTTCGCACTCGAAATCTAGTACATTTTAACATCATCTTTGAATAATATCATAACCACCATAAGCGAAATCATCCACCCCTATGACGTTGTAGCAGCCAACTGCTTCACTTTGGCTTGCAAAACTGCCCCGGCTTCATCTGCGATGCTTTTCTTCTTAGAAGCAACCTGCACATCACATTGAATTCAAGATTTCTCTCTCTTAAATGGATGATAATAGCAATACAAAACGCAGAACAAAGGATCATCTCCAGCAAACTAGCAATCAAAGTTGAAGAATTTTGCAACCAAAGGATTCAATCCCTTATGAGTACGTAAGAGATAAAATTGGCTTTTCTACTTCAGGGAAATGATTTCCGCACAAGCGGTTTCTCCTTTTATACAAACCCTACTTGTTTTTCTATTAATTATCATTGATTTATTCAGGCTAGAAACAAACAGGAGGTGTGCAGTGTGCACAAAGCGGAAATCACTTCCCCTTTCATATTCCGCCTTATTCGATTCATTCCTCAATCCACAAAGGTAACATCCTTCTTCCTACAAGAGCTATTCAACTAAATTACAAGTGAAACCAAGTATACACAGTCAAATCATCCAAACAAGCTAAACTGTTCCTACTATGAGTTCGCAATGCGTAACAGAATAAATCCCCAAACCCTAGCAGGCTAGCACTACCAAAATCAATGGAAATTAATCAAGATTGAAATATAACTTTTTGCAAAATTACAAGTTCATTAATCTCTAATAATAATAATAACAAAAAATGAAAAAGTTGAACATACCTCGACAAGTTGGTCAAAATTAGATTTGAGCAAGTTGATTTTACGGTCGCAGTAATCTTTGGCCTGAGGCATGGTTTTCTCGATGAAGTAGCCGGTGCCGACGTCGACCAGGACTTGGTGGGCGTCGTGGAGGGTTCCGGGGACATAAAGCGACGCCGTAAGCGGGACGAGCATCTTCTTTCCCTGAGGGCGGAGGGAGAGGTCGTGGAGGGCGGAGGAGGCGACCTCGAGGCGGGCGGTGGCAGTGCGGATGTTGTTGAGGGAGTCCTGGAGAAGATTGACTTCCATATCGGTTTGTTCTTTGACAGCCTTCAACTGCTCAGGGCTCAGCTTCTCCATCTCCGCTTTCACGTTCACGCTCACGGCCTTCTCCATCTCTCTCTCTCTTCTGATCGAATCTCAAAACAAATTCTCTTATGCGACTATGCCCCGCCCTGTCTTCTCTCCCTACTCTTGTACACTGCAGTTTATACTAGAGAGTATAGACCATGATTCTTTAATAAAATAAATATCAAAATTTCATAACATTGCTGTCAAGTGGCCCCTATAGCTCAGTGGTAGAGCGTCAGTCTTGTAAACTGAAGGTCTGTAGTTCGATCCTGCATGGGGGCAGCTTGCTTTTTCTCATTTTTCTCAAGCTCGCTTTTTTAAATTTCTCACATCCGTGTCTCAATCGCGACCATCTCCCTTCGCCATAATAACACACCCATTGACTTGGCCGCCACCCCTTCTCTCAGGGAGACGAACCCAACTTCACAGGTGTCGAATACGAATATCCAAATGCTATTAAGTGTAATCATCATTTAATCAACAGGAAGGATAAGCTTTAGATATGTTTTTTCTTATCTTTTTCTTCTTTCTTTGATGCCATGGCATAAAAAGTGATTAAAAGTTGTTCGTTAGCAAAGCTTAATCAAACCATAAGAAGCAATCACAAGCACGAGACGTTATTAAGCAATTCCACACATTTATGCTGCTGCATAAGAAACAAATTGAGATGCATTCTGCAATCTACATACACAAAACTTGTTTTGTGTCTACAAGTCAACTACTAGAGTTCAATGCAACTCCATCCAATTCCAAATTACAAGATATTCCCCCGAAATGAATTACAATGTCTGCAGGGCTTAGTAGCGGTACTTGGTGGAGTAATCCTTGGGAGCAATGACCAGACCGCGTCCCTTCCTTGCCCCGCGGTACACTGTCTCAACAATGTCAATGAACTCTTGCTTGTCCTTGAGAGCCCAGTTGATCTTGTTGTTGTTCCCCGTGCCAAGATCAATCATAATGTGCTTGTTTCTGAAAAAGAACATGACCGTTGATGGATCGTAGAGCTCATACATTGTGTTGAAATCAGGAACCTCCGTGATGTCCACGAGGTAAATCACAGCAAAGTTTTTTATTGTCTCAGCAACAGAAGCCAGCACCTCATCCATCTAGCAAATCGAACACAATAACAGACCACAAGTTAATCAGCAGCATTCAAATCGCGATTAATAAATATATTCAATCTACAGAAAGCATTGATAAAATGAAATAGGGCTAAGAGGCTTCATATACATGGTGAAAAGTTCATTATCTTTTGTATTACTTTTCATGCACGCAGCCATCTAACTTATAAGGTTTACATACAACAAAGAAATGATCCGTATGCACAAAAGCTAATCACCACAGTGAACACGGAACAGGCCCTGTAAAGCCGAGCGAATTCCATAGAACACAGGAAACGGTTTACAAGATCAAAAATCTACAAAATGGGATCTATTATTGGCACTCCAAAACTCTAATTGTGCACTCCAAAGTTTCTATATTTAGAAAGAAAATTAGCACAATTAGATTCTTGGAGTGACAATCACAATTCACTATGAAACTAGTTGATAATTTGGCTTGCTTGAGAGTCAGTTTGGAATATCAAAATATGAGATTAGTGAAATTTCACAACTGCTTCTTAGTAATATTATCCTACATTAGTTTAAAGCAACTTCATTGTGGCCGTTGACCTTCTTCAATTCATTCGATGAAGGCCGGAACTGGAAGAGGTGTGTGTAGTAAAAATGTGAACTACAAAATATGACAGATTTACATACACCAAAACTTTTAAGGACACTTACCATATGCATAAATGAAATAAAACCCAAGAAAAAGTCAGCCACAGCCACACCTACTCAGTTGCTAAACAGAAATTCCTGATGTCGTCTCTCTCTTAAACATTAGGATTTTAGCATGTAATCAAATCAACTTTTTCAATCAAAATTAAGAAACAGAAAGGAAAAAAGAAATTAAAGAACTGAGGATTTAGGGTTAACAAAAGTTGCCAAAAAGGAATTCGAACCTGCATACAGGTCTCATCCCAATCGTGGCCGAATCGAATGAGGACAAGACGCTCCTCCTCGGCGAGGATGGCTTGATCGACGGCCCATCCTGAGTGGAGGTGCGGCAGCAGATACGACATCGTTTTTCGTCGACCCTCTTCCCGTCACTCTCCCAAGCTTTTCCCTCGCTCTCAGAAAGGTCTAAAAATTAATCAGCAAATTTTTATGAAAGAAAAATGGATAATATGCGCCCCCGCTAAATATACAACGTGTAGTCGGTGGACTTTTACGAGTAATATTTTTGACCGTTGGATGAAACGAACGGTCAAGATCAAAACTTGAGAAAGCCAACTGACTGCACCCGTATTGGCCCGAAATGGAACCCGGTTTCCGAGCATCTTGGATTTGGTTCTGCAACTGTTTGTTTCTCGTCCAATTTTATTTTTTCAAAATCAAAAAAATAAAAAAGAAAACAGCAATCGGGTGAACTCGAGATAATAATATTGATGTGAATCAATATTGAAACAAACAAGAATTCAGTTCTCGCCACAACTCGTGTGTCAATTGGTTAAAAGCATTTAACCTTATTATCTGAAATTGTAAATTCGAATCTTCTCCACCTCGAACATGACTCGTATAAAACATGAAATCAAGCTATGAAATTTGAACGAAGCAATTGTATTGATAAATAGAGAGAGAAAAAGGGCGAAAGAAAGTCAATTAATTAATTAAATGGAAAAATTACCTGCATGCAAGTGTCATCCCAGTCATGGCCGCATCGGATGATGACGACGCGCTCTTCCTCGGCAAGAATGGCCTGGTCGACGGCCCACCCCGAGTGCAGGTGCGGTAGCAAGTAGGACATTATTATTGATGATGGATCTAATTAATTTCTTCTGTATTTCAAACTGTGATTTCTAGTAACTTGTTTATCCTGATCACTCTCAGCCTCACGTCTAAATTTCCTAATGCATAATAATTCGCAGGAAATGACATGGCGTCATCAATGGTACTGACTAGTTAGAGCAAGCCCAGCATTGCTGGTTGCTCGGGGGATGGGCGAGAGAAAAGGGGTTCGAGGCCCTGTGGACCAGCTCCAGCGTTAGAGAGCTCGAGTAGAGGTGGAGGCCCGAGCTCCGGGCCCGTGGAGAATTGCCAGCGCTGACATCAACCTGGCATCAGGCTTTTTTTAATTTTTTTCTGTCAGGCGCGTGCACCTCACTCGTACGTGGGGACTCGTCACCGACACAAAATAAAAAAAAATTTGCTTTTTCAGTTACCGTTAGGAAGCCATGTGGCTTCCCACGGTCCGTTCGATCTCAACGGTAAAAAAAAAAAGTCTTATTTAATATCCACCGTTCGATCTGAGATCAACAGTGGATATTAATATGCTTTATAAATAAAAAAATAAAAGAAAAAATAGTTTTAAAATTAAGAAAAGTTACCGTTGTGACATGTGGCACAATCTGAAGTGTTGGAATTCAAATTTTTTTATATCCAACGGCAGAGATTAATTAGTTGAATAAAAATTAAAAAAAATTGTAAAAAATTCAAAATAAAATCTGAAATTTTTTTAAAAAAAATTGTTTTTACTTTTCTATAAATACCTTCTCATTATCATCTACCTTACACAACAATTTCATATTTTCTCAACTACTTTCAATCACATTCCTTTCTTTGTCTCAAAGTTTCAATCCATTTTTTTTCAACAAAATGACCACCGGTGCAGGTATGAAGTGGTCGCTTCTTGAAGATGTTGCGTTGTGTACTAGCTGGGTTGAAGTTACTCATAGTTCGCTTACGGGTAATGAGATGCAGTTGCGAGAAATGTGAAGTCTTATTCATACCAATTATCTTGAGAAAATTGGTGGGAAAAGAACCAAAGAATCGATGTCCAGTCGTTGGAAATTACTTAGCCAATCGTTTAGTACGTGGAGAGACGCATTGGCACAAGCTAGTAGTAATATTCGAAGTGGGGAAAATTACTCGGATCAGGTAACAATATATTATTTATTCGATACCCAAATTTACATTATAATTATTTGTTTGTATTATTTATTTGTTACGTACTTACATTATAATTATTTGTTTGTATTATTTATTTGTTACCTACTTACATTATAATTATTTGTTTGCATTATTTATTTGTTACCTACTTTTACATTATAATTATGTTGTTTGTATTATTTATTTGTTACTTATTTTCATTATAATTATTTCTTCTCCCGCATTGTGTAGGAACTTCAAGCACAAGCTTGGTATGCTGCCAAAACCAAAAGCAAAAATAAATCATTCAACCGTGAGAATGTTGGAATATTGTCAAAGATTGTCCTAAATTTAGAGTTGTGCCAGTCGGTCCAAAAGTGCACATGAACAACACCCCTCTACACTCTACACCCGATCATGTCTCGCATGTTCATGAAGATGATTCAGAAGAAGTGTCTGAAACGCCCATCCCTGAACAAGCGTTTGGTTCAACCCGTTATCCAATTAGGTTTCAAGGTAAGAAGGCTTCAAAAAAGAAAAGGGAGTGCTTCTAAGAATGATTATGCAAAGTTTATGGAAGAACTTACTCGCCAAGGTGAATTGACTTTGGCGAGGGAACTGGCGAAATATGAGGCTGATAAGGCTATAGAGGATGCAAAAGCTGCAACTATTGAGAGAGAATTTCAGGCTAATGAGAGAGAAAGAGTGCTACTTAGGCAAGAAAGGGAACATGTTAAAGAAGAAAGACGGGCTCAACGAGATCGTGAGATTATGAACACGCCTTTAGAAGGGAAGTTTCCAAATTCTAAATTTTTTTGGAAGTCAAAGAAAGCGGACGTGCGAATGAGGCATGTAAGAGAAGCGAGAGCAAGCCAATATGGTCCTAGCACCACAAGAGAAGATCATCCTAGCACCACAAATTGGTTAAGTGATGATGAATAGAGTAGTTTTTGTAATCGGAGCCCATAATTTTCCAATCACTTTGGGCTGTAATTTATTATTTATTGTTTGTATTATTTATGTTGTTTCCAATTTATTGAATATTTATTCAAATTAATTTGGTAAGTTATTTATACTAAGAGAATATTTATTGAAATGACAAAAACACACCAAATAAAATTACATAAGCATACCAAATAATAAAAAACTCACTAAAAAAATTACATAAACATACCAAATAATAAAACACACCAAATAAAATAACATAAACATACCAAATTCAAAAAAACACACTAAATGAACTTAATTATCTTCAGTTTGTTTCAATGCCCACTAGTGCTCTATCAAGTCAATTTGATGGGCATTGTGCATGTCTGGCATTTGAAATGCAGTATATCGTTGAATGAGCCTTTCATTGTAACGTCCATCCCTTTGTAATGGCTCATGTTGCACGGCATCATCGGTGGCGTCATGAGCACAATATATACGTGTTCTTGAATTGTTCATCGTGCCTGGCTCATATTCATTAACGGCTTCATAATCGTACTCATCTTCCACAATCATGTTGTGAAGAATGATGCACGTCATCATGATGGATCGAAGCGACTCTACATCAAACAATATGGCAGCACCCCTGATGATCGCCCAGCGAGCTTGGAGGATACTGAAACAACGCTCCACATCCTTCCTGCACCCCTCTTGACAGCTTGCAAAATGTTTTTCCTTTGCACTTCGCAGACGTGGCACTGTTTTGACAAATATTGATCATCGCGGGTAAATGTCGTCAGCTAGGTAGTATGGCCCGTCGTACATACGTCCGTTGACCTCATACGTGACTTTTGGTGCCTTTCCTTGCAGAACATTGTTGAACACTGGGGATTGGGTAAGGACGTTGATGTCATTTTGAGCTCCCGGGACTCCAAAAAAGGCGTGTCAAATCCATGTATCAAAAGATGCCACCGCCTTCAGAATGATACTTTTTGCTCATTTTTTGTCCCCATAAGCGCCTTGACAATTTTTCCACGTCCAGTGCATACAATCAATTCTTCCAATCATCCTAGGAAAACCACGCATCTCGGCCTTCTTCAACAGCCGTTCCAAGTCCATGTTTGTAGGTTTGCGAAGGTACTCAGCGGTGTAGATAGATTCGATTGCTTCGCAAAACCTTATCAGGAACTCAAGAATGGTTGATTTCCTAATCCTCGTTATCTCATCCACTTGGTCTGCAGATGCTCCATATGCAAGCATCCGCAAGGTAGCAGTAATTTTTTGCTCAGGTAGGAGACCCATAGCACCAAAAGCATCATTCTTTTGCACAGAGTAAGAATCATGGTTGCAAACAGCAATCATGATTTTGTTGAACAAATGTCGTTCCATTCTAAAACGACGTCTAAAGTACGTATCAGGGAATGCACTATTAGGGACAAAATAATCATCCAAGAATTCCATACCTCGTCGTTGCATGCTTCTATCAAGGTTTCCGGAACGGCTGGGCCTGCAGATCTAAGCCACAGCTTGGATGACTCGACGAGAATGTGAGGCCTTGCCCATTCTTACTTCGTCATCTCTCCTTCTACGCTCCTCATCCTCTTCCCTCTCATTTTTCCCCCTGGTGATTGAACATTGCTTCTGATTGGTTAAACAATTCTTCCTCTTTGTGATCGAGTTCCCACATCGTCCTTGAAGAAGAAGAAGACATTATAAGAAAGAAGCAGAAACTATGAATAATGATACAGATTTTTGTGAAGAAGAAAGCAGAAACTATGAATAATGATAAAGATCTTGAGAAAATTGGTGTGAAATTTGTGAGGATGGATGGTGGATTATATGGAGGATTCAGAAAGGATTAGGTTGTACATAATGCCACGTGGCATGCCGTCATTCGTTAAAAATCTGATGGAAATCTATCCCCAAAGATTGTAAACAGATTATGACACGTGGCGCGACGTGATTGGTTAATAATCTTATCAGAAATCCATCACCAATAATTGTATTTTCGGATAATGACACGTGGCATAACGAGTACGATTAAAAAATTTATCAGAAATCCATCCCCAATAATTGTCTTTTCGGATTTTATGACAAGTGGTGCAACGACAACGATTAAAATCTTATCCGAAATTACAAATAAAATTATTTTGTATTATTTAATAATACTTGGGATAATGACACGTGACGCAACGAGAACGATTAAAAATCTTATCCGAAATTACAATTAAAATTATTTTGTATTATTTTATAAATAAATAAAATAATAATATTTTATTGCCTATTGTCAGGGCTATTGAAGTGTAATGGTGGATATGCAAATACTATTGCCAGGGCTATTACTGTTCATTAATGACAGTTACTGTTCATAAAAGTGGATTGAATAGTGCATAGCCTGGGGGGAGGGCTCCAACGTTAGAGTTGCTCTTAGGATTCAGGAACCCTCCAGAACGATCTTGACCTTTCTCCTTTTTCTTTTAATAATCATAAAACAAGTAATAAAAAATTGTTGTAACTTGGAATGTGCCTGAGACTACTAGTCACATTCAACCACAAAATAATTATGAGCCGTTTGATAACAAGTTTGTTTTTAATTTTAATTACTTTTTTTTTATAATTAGAAGTAATTATTATCCAAATTTTCAGTTTTTGAAAAGTGTAAAATAAAAAATAAAAAATAAAAATGAAATAACTATCAAATGTTTGAGAATGGTCATCTCGCATGTGGCAATTCTCAAACGTATTCCTAAATTATGAAACACCATAACTAAATCAAGTCAAGATGACAATTCTTATGATGCCAAAGAGCCTTTTAAAGATAATGCTAAAACTATCACATAAATATACAACAATAAAATAGAAGTAAACTCTCTCTAACATTGCCTTTAATTTCTTACAAACTGGTAGCAAACTCTTAGTCGTTATTGTTTTTTATAAGAATATTTTAAAAAGAGTAATGCTATGTATGCTAAATTTGTAAGTTAAATTTATAAATTAGATAACGTGTGTCTAAAAACAAAAACAAAAAAGCACATTAATCAAAATAATTCAACTATCAATTATCATTTGATCTTCCTAACATTGTATTTGGACGAAGAAATTTAAGATTATTAAGTATTTTTAAAATGACCAAAATTGAAGTGAAGGGATTTTATTTTTTAAAATTTGTGAATTTTCTTGTTTAATTAACTTAAAAGAACAATGAAATTGAATGCATAATTTGTTATTTTTAAATTCACAATCATATAAATTGGGAAATGACACTTATTTACATAAAATTTAAACTTAGGAATTGGAGGACCCAAATTCCATGTTTTTTCTCTACGTGGAAATTGTAAATTTGTATGTTTATGAATTCAAACAAGAGAATTGGTGCATGTTAATTTATAAATTCTGATTTTTATCCAAATTTCAAGTTTATTTCTCTCGTCCAAACATAGTGTAACATTATCCTTTTAAAAGATAATAAACTTATTAGTCACCGATTTTTCCTTCTTCCTTAATATATAAGGAAAATTAATGAAAATTTTAAATTTTAACGATAAAAACAAAATAAAAAGTAAAATAAATAATACTAAAATTAATTTTTAATAAAAAAATATGATATTTCTTTAAACAATGAGTACCTAAAACTTTTTTTTAAAGTTCTCTGATATATATATTCCCTTCGTATAGAGACAATTGATAATGAATCACCCGACACACTCTCCCCAATCCTCATCCTGAACTGCTCAATCAGTCAATCTCAGTTCTGAATCGTTTGGCTATGGCCTCCGCCTCCTCCTTCTCCTCCTCATACACAAAATACGAGATCAGGAAACGAAACCCGAACCCAAAAGCGGCGGCCCTTCTAGTCATCGACGTGCAGAACTACTTCTCCGCCATGGCCCGACCCATCCTTCAAAACCTCCTCACCACCATCCGCCTCTGCCGACGGGCTTCCATCCCCGTCATCTTCACGCGCCACGCCCACAAGTCTCCCTCCGACTACGGCATGCTGGACGAGTGGTGGAACGGCGATCTCGTCTACGACGGCACTCCCGAATCGCAGCTCATGCCGGAGCTCGACCGGAGGGGACCCGACGAGGACCGCGTGTTCGACAAGAACACGTACAGCGCGTTCAGGAACACGGGCCTCGAGGAATACCTGAAGGAGAAGGGGGTGGAGGAGGTGATCGTGACCGGCGTCATGACCAACCTGTGCTGCGAAACGACGGCGCGTGAAGCGTTCATAAGGGGGTATAGAGTGTTTTTCTCCACGGACGCGACTGCGACGTCGGATCGGGAGCTGCATGAGGCGACCTTGAAAAACATGGCTTATGGGTTTGCCTACTTGGTGGATTGCAAGAGGCTTGAGGACGGCCTTTTTTCCGGGGACATAATCAGAAATTAACCTTTCGCGGTTGAATTAGTAAAAGGCCTTATTGTTTGTGTTGTGCAGTGCAGCTTGTTTTCTCATGTGTATTTTGTGGTCATGGAATAATTAGGTACCTAGGTGGTATCATACATTTACTAATGCAATAGTTTGTATTATTTATGTTAAATCAATCTAGTTGGATACGGTTTTAGTTATCAGTACGTATTGCATAAAATATTGTTTAGTAATCCGGATTTAAAAACAAGAGTGGTGCAATCGAGTTCATGGTTGAAAATTCACTCTAACTTTAGGGTGGGCATGTACCCTTGTTCATGTACGTATTACATTAAATATTGTTTAGTCACTCTAACTTTAGGGTGGGCATGTACCCTTGTTCATGTACAAAATTAGTGAGATTTTTAAACAATATAAAGTGTTTAAGTTTGTGAAATTCGCACGATAGTGAAGTATGGTACAAGTAACCTTGATCACATATTTGTTACATTCAATTATGTTTTTCTTATACAAGTAATATTGTGCTTCAAGTTAACGAAAACGGTTGGAATTGGGATTCAAATTTATATTCATAAGAGAGTACATTTGCTCTAGTCAATCTGATCAAAATTATGCTTGCACTACAATTTGTGTTGATCCTAAAAATTACCAAGCCTACGTGGCGCGCAGGACGAGTAACTAATAAGCTAACTATGTTATTAGGTTGTGTGTGGGGCGTGCCAACTCGTCAGTCGAGTTCGGCCAGGGAGTAAAATATGTCGATGTGGCATTGGGTGCTATTGATTTCTCAATCTTGCAGCTGCGGTCGAAGAAGGAACACGTCTCGGTCTTCAGGTTTTATAACCTAAAAAACAAGGCTGCTAGTTTCTTCGAAGTTCACAAAACACCAGCGCCGAGTTCGATCTCAGCAATTATATTCGTAAGAGTATAAGTACACCGAACTAATACCAAGCTATATGGACACAAATACTCGAAAGAGATAAATGTCTTGATCCTAAATGTGATTCGACCGTCGGAATGCCGAACTCTAAAATGTACTTGTGAATATCCAATCACAAAATAAAACTCGACTTTCAATGTGTCGAGCCTAGTAACCTGGTAACACCTCACTTCACTGAGAAAGCTAATGAGATGACCTCTACCAAGAAGGACTCATAAATCCTTGTTGATTGAGACTTGGATAAATAACCAGTTGATCTCGAAGCAGTGTTGTCTATCCAAATTGAAGATGCTTCTCGATCGGCTGATTTTACGGCTCCAGTGCTGTCTATCCAAACTGAAGATGTCACTAGTTGCCTTCACAGTGCTTTCTATCCAAACTGAAGATGTGTTGGCAGGAAGAAATGGGGAAAGGAAAAATTTTCAAGGTTGTTGATAAGCTTTGTGTAGAGCAATTTGTGTGTTAATTTGAAGGGGGCCTTGAATAATGCACTTTCTTCTCTATTTATAGCAACGAACCCCCTTATGACCGAACTAGAAGTGTACTCGAATTAGAACTCATCAACCTAATCTAATCAGGTTTCGGCCAATTGTAACCCCTATAGGACTTTGAACCAAACTCCTTAACGAACCAGATTCATCCACTAATTCTAAGCGTCTTCAGCTTTAAGATTCCTTTTTGCACTAGGGTTCGACTACTTCACCCTTATCTAAACTAATTATCCTCACAACATGATTTAGCCGACCTTGACTGGACAGCCCATCACAAGATTCTAGATCAATGTTACTGGGTCGAGAACAATTCTAAGCTCGGCCCAAAATATTGTTTTGGGCCCAAACAATTTGATAAACCTTTTTCACTTTGAGTAAACACATCTTTTGAAAGACTCAGTCTTTTTTTTTTTTTTAACATTTTAATATGAAGTTAGTATTTTTAAGAAAATTCAATTAAGAAAGTAAATTCAAGCCCAATAAATGAAGTCCAAAACATGTTGAAGTAATAGTCTGAGTATAAAGTTTTATTGAAAAAGATCTCAGTAATATTATTTGGACTTCCTGCATAATTAGAAAAAAGAAGTTGCATATTCCAAATAGCATGTATTATAGGAAAAAAAAAGAAGAAGCATTTTTAAGTATAGAGAACCAGCATGAAGGTTTAAGACTTAGGCCAACGTTAGCGAAGCTATATTCTCATAACTATGGCAGCATGGCCACAATTATGCATAAAGTTAGATTAAAGGATCCAAATTTGGTTTGTGTAAAAGCGGAGCTGGAGAGGGTTCCAATTCCTAAAGTAGAATATGATCATTTCCAAATCCAAACCATATGGATCTATAAGATCACTCTTCCTCTTCAACTTTCTCACCTTTTCTCTTTCTCCTTAACATTGTTGCCTTTTTCTTTGACGATGATCAAATAATTGAGAAAGAAAGAAAGAAGAAGAAGAAAAAGAAAATGCAAAAGGGTTGAAGGTCGAGGAAATTTGTAGTGGGAATTCGAGTGGGAGGATGAGGGGGAGGTGAGTGATGGTAGGGAGGTCCGTAGGATCCGGATAGTTCGAATCCGGAGAGGATCTGTTCCACAAAAAAGTGACAAAATAAAGCCAACGTGGCAAGGCAGTAGTTGGATTTAGCTGAGATCAAACATGTGAAGTTGATAAGGAACCGGACGATAAGAAGAAGCGTATTGGAGGAGGCACCCTTCCATATCCTGTACTGCAATCCCAAATTATCCTATCCAACATCCATCCTCAGACAATCCCTTCAAACTCCCACACTCCCAATCGCCGTCTCCTACTTCTTCCTCTCCCTCCCTCTCTATCTCTCTCTACAAGTGCAATGGAGGCCCTTTGTTCTTCTTCTTCCTGCTCCTCGTCTCTTTTGACCAAGCAGGCGCTTCCTTCATGCTCTTCAATCAACTTCGCAGCAGGAGTTGGCTCCGTCTCAGTCCTCCGCTCCTCCATGCCCTCCCTCAAGACTCGAGCTTTTCCCAACTCCATCAGAAAACACAGTCTAATTGGGATCCCAATGGCCTCCGTCGCTGTTGAGCAGCAGATCCAGAAGTCCAAAGTTGCCCTAATCAAAATTGGCACCCGAGGAAGGTACTCTTTTCATGTTTTCCCCCCATTTTTAACTTTTGGTTTCCTCCTATTTGAAAATGTAATCTGATTTTAGCTCATTACTCCAATTATCCCTATTATCTATGAATTCCTAGATGAATTATAATGATGGGTTTCTTTTCAAAATCTTGTATTTTATGTCTTTTTTTCGTGAGTTATTGATACTCTTTCTGGATATAGGATAGCCCATTAGCACTTGCTCAGGCTTACGAGACAAGAGAGAAACTCATGGCATCGCACCCCGAGCTAGCTGAAGAGGGCGCAATTCAGATTGTAATCATAAAAACTACCGGTGATAAAATACTGAGTCAGCCCCTTGCTGACATTGGCGGGAAGGGTTTGTTCACCAAGGAAATAGATGAGGCACTCATCAATGGTGATATTGACATTGCTGTCCACTCAATGAAAGACGTGCCTACCTACTTACCCGAGCAGACAGTTCTGCCTTGCAACCTTCCACGAGAGGATGTCCGAGATGCATTTATATCCTTAACTGCATCTTCTCTTGCAGATCTGCCAGCTGGAAGCACTGTTGGTACTGCTTCACTTAGAAGAAAGTCACAGATACTCCATAGGTTTCCAACACTCAATGTAAGCTACCATATTCTTTGGTGTCACGTGTATATCTGACTTTTGCTTGTTCGATATGTTGGAGATTGTATGCTAGTTCATTTGATATAGCTTAATTTAAAGTTTGCATTGGCTTTTGGGATCATTTAATGGAGTCTGGAGGGAGCCAACTGTTTCTAGCTATGTGTTAGATTTCAAAAGTCATGGGGTTTGTATTTTGCCTGGGCCATTGAACGGATATCCGTTGGTCCATTTACTTCATTCCAATGGTATCCCGGTGGAAAAATCTTGTTCTAGAATGAGTTGTGTATGTGTTAGCGTGAAGTAGGGTTGGGTTGAAGATCAGTTGTAGATGTTCGTTTATCTGAATGAAAAGGCTAAATGATCGTGACTTTAGTTCCTTCCTAGCCAATTGTCTTTATGAGAAAATGTTTAGGCTGGATTTGAAGTGGCACTAGATGTTCATATCCATGACATGCATGCCTTTTGATTGTGGCTTGTCAGAATAATTCATAGGGCGATGCGCCTGCCCCTTCCTGAATATGATTGAAGCATGACTCTTTTCTTGTTTCCTTTTTATAACTCTCTATCCCTGTGTGTTTGTAACTCTCTCCCTGCCACCACTATTGCGTGCCATTTCTTAGATTTCTGACATTGTTCTGTTGCTTGTTTCATGTTGTGGTTAATTTCATCTTGCAGGTGCAGGAGAATTTTCGGGGTAACGTCCAGACACGGTTGAAAAAGCTTAATGAAAAGGTGGTCGAAGCAACCTTATTAGCATTAGCTGGACTCAAACGCTTAGATATGACAGAAAATGTGACTTCAATTCTTTCACTAGATGAAATGCTTCCGGCAGTTGCCCAAGGGGCGATTGGAATTGCCTGCCGAACCAATGACGATAAAATGGTGTGTTTAAATCTTTACATTTCCATTCGCAAGATAACATATTGAATGATATTATACTTTTGCACTAGTTGATATCATTGAATTGGCCCCATGAACACACACTTGGGTATTTGGCAGGAGTGTTCTACAATAGCTAAAGGGAAGCAATTCTAAGCTATTTTAGCTTGAGCTAGTGGCTAGAAAATCATGCATCGGTAAAATTTATGCAAAAAATTGGATCTTTAGATCCATCTGGACTTGTGAATGCGAATACTTCTGAACTTTCCTAAGGTGATTGACACACACACGCACACACACACATTATTTCTGGGTTAGTACAAAAACCTTGTGTAATATTTATATAGAAGTTGTTGCCCGCTAACTGCTAAGCTCTGCTTTTGCCTCTCCAAAATATTATTTAATTTTTGGTTGGTCTTTTCCTTGCAGGCTAATTACATAGATTCATTGAATCATGAGGAAACAAGACTAGCAGTTGCATGCGAGAGGTCGTTCCTTCTGACCCTGGATGGGTCTTGTCGAACTCCTATTGCTGGATATGCTAGCAAAGATGAGGATGGTAATTGCATATTCAAAGGGTTGGTGGCTTCCCCTGATGGAACCCGTGGTATGCTCATGCTCATACTGTAAGGCTATATTTGGATGAGGTTGTCCAAGTTCCAAGGGATTGATGCCAAGTAATTAAGGAATGGACCGCAAAATGCAACATAGAGGGGATAATAAAAACCCTCTATGAGCATTACATAGATATGTGAGAGGGATTTGCTAATATCTAATTGGGAGGTGTCATCTACAAGTCCCTCTCACATGCCTTTGTAATCCTTGTGGAGGATTCTATATAACATTTTGTGATCCATTACTTCATAACTTAGCATCAGTCTCTTGGGACTCGGAAAGCCACATCCAAACATAGCTTAAGGAATATTCATTCAGTTTTATTTCCTGGTTCTCCACTGTAAACTTAAAAAGGAAAGAAAAGTAATTAATCTTTGCCACTAATTATGTTTTCTGTGTGTCTATTTTCAGTACTTGAAACTTCTAGGAAAGGCCCATATGCTTCTCAAGATATGATCGACATGGGTAAGGATGCAGGCCAGGAACTTCTGTCACGTGCAGGTCCAGGTTTTTTCGGTATTTAATGTGAGCCTTACTAATAGGGAAAGCTGCGGAAGTTAATGCAGCCTCCCTTCCTCGTGCAAATTTTGGTGGTTGCAACCAATGAGTTTATTTATCAGCCTTTGAGCTGTCTGTTGTAACTTGTTACATTAGTATTTGTTCTGTTTTTGTTGCTAGAAAGAGCGTCTGTTGCATTTTTAAGGATAGTCGATTCATTGATTGTATATTAGCATTTAGAAGACAATTCAGTCACACGATAGGCTTTGATTGTTGTCATCTCAGTTCATTTAGTAGCCAAGGTTTTGCGACTCTCTCTCTCTCTCTCTCTCTGTAATGGTTGGAAATGGATGGTAGTTTATTATGATCTACAGTTGGTTTTCGTTTATGATGGCTGCCTGATCAGGGATGCAATTAAACGAAAATTAACTGTAGAAAAAATAGCGACGCCTGATCTTACATCCGCGCGGTTAGTTTTCCTCTATGATTGACTTCCAAGGAGGCAGGATCAGGCTTGCTATTTTCTCTTTTGTTATCCACTAAAAATATGTGCACAGGGATTGCAGAAATCAAAACCCGTGTAAGTTCACCAAAAACAATTTCTCTGTTTTTTTTTTTTAATCTTTTTGCGCAACTGCTTCGAAGTTGCAAAGATTCCACCAATTAAGACTTGGAAATCTGACTGGTACAATTGATGCCAGAGACTAACGAAGCTTTACAAATTCCAAAGAATCGTAAAATTGATTTACTTATTGACATCGAGAAGAAGAAGAAGACGGGGAATGCTAGAAAGGTTTGGAAAGGAGTTTCCGATTAGCCAAGAAGTGTTCAACTAGGAGGAGCGACTGCCTTGGTGCAAACACCGGAACTTCATGGCCTGCCGCTCTAATTGTCACAAACATAAGCCCGTCGTACACAACTCTCCACCCGCCAACCTATCATATCAAATTTACAGTTAATTAATTGATTAAAAACAGGATGATCAACCAAACCACCCCAACATAACATCATAAATTCTAAGAGGATACTAAGAAGGAGTGACTGGTGAGGGAGCACCTGCTTCTTGTTGTACCAAGGAGTCCAATCTTCATTTATCTTCAACCTGAGCTTTCTCAACGCGTACCTAGTTGATGTTACTGGAACTCTCCCATCAGTATCCCCGCTGCAATATCATGTCAGAAAACAGTTCTATACAGTTAATGAGGGTAGTCATGATCGCACAACTTCAACCACTGAAAAGATTTGGTAATTAGCTATCCATCATTTCATGAATAATGAATCATTTATTTAAGTACCTGTAAATCCAAACCCGAAGACCCCCAGCTACAAGCTTTCCAATTACAGGAAGCATTGATGATGGTGCATTCCAGAAGATGTTATCGCTGTATTTGGACGATACATTGTCCTGATGAGTAATCACATTCATATATATAAACACATATGACTACATAGTTCTTGCATCATTAGTTAATTTATTTGGTTAGTTAAGAAGTAATAGGTTAGAGGTGGTACTTGCAGTGAGACCATGGATAGGAGATTTTGGTGACATTGGCATGAAGTGCCTTTTGAACGTCAGGCCTGTTCAAATACACATAACTGTAATCTGATGTACAAGGGTCATATCCTGCAGGTCTCTTGTGCCGTACATCCTGCGCACCACAAATATTTTAATCAACTTTGTTTGCTCTAATAACATGATGAGTCGTTATAATTAGTGGGGAACTACTTACAGTTCTGGAAAACAGAGTGGAAGCGCCTTGGATCGTATGGGATTGCCCGCTGCTGCTGGTGTTACTAAGGCACATAGGGGTGTACAAGCTGTACATGTCTGTGATATTGTACACATTATAGTACTCTTCCAGCAGCGTGTTACACTGTTCTGATATGTTTTGGCCGAAGTCGCATTCCTTCTGAATATCATGGTACAAGCGATCAGAGATCACCGCGTGATCCCAAGCGTAATCAATCAATCCCTTCTGATCTGATTCATCATCTATTGCTGCGTTACCAATCTGCATCATCATGTTGAACTATAAGCCATGAGCTGATTAGTATTTGAGAATAATCCTGTTTTTAATTGTGTATTCACTTGTGCTTAGAAATTGCCAAGTGTAAGATCTAAATATGTAAGGCCATGAGTGCCATGTGTGATGATCCTAGCTATTGCTAGATGAGTGGCTGTGATCGTTTTATCTAGAAGGAAAAGATCCAGCTAAGCATTGTTAACAGAATTATTCCTTTTGCACGATTGTGTGTGCAGAGTGAGAAATATACTTTACAGAAAAGAAGAAAGCTTCCTCTGTGACTTGCAGAGAGCATAGCAATCATTTTCATTCTCAGTGCCTTCTTTTCTTCTTCTTCCATTCATACAAAACACTAACATGGTATCAGAGCCAGGTTGGATTTAACAATCTGGGCGTAAATCTGTGAAGCTATCGAGCTCAATCGGAGCTCCCCTGAAAATCTGTGAAGGTTGTCGATTCAGATCAAAATTATGTCTGGATCTGGAGGCTCGGAAGTGAGGACTCCAATCTTCTCCGGTGAGAACTACGAGTTCTGGAGAATCAAAATGGTTACAATCTTCAAATCTCTCGGGTTATGGAACCTGGTAGAAAAGGGAGTGTCAACACCTGACTCGAAGACGAAGAAGAAGGAAGCTGAAGGGTCATCGGAAGTCGATCGCGATGATGAAATGATGACCGTGCTAATGAGAGATGCAAAGGCTCTGGGAATCATACAAAACGCAGTCTCTGATCAGATTTTTCCTCGGATTGCAAACGCAGACTCAGCCAAGATGGCGTGGGATCTACTGTATGGAGAATATCATGGAGGTGATCAGGTTAGATCTGTAAAACTTCAGAATCTTAGAAGAGAATTTGAGTATGCTAGAATGCGAGATGATGAATCCTTATCTAGTTATCTTACAAGATTGAATGATTTAATTAATCAGATGAGAACATTTGGTGAATCCCTTTCTAATGAGAGACTTGTGCAGAAGGTTCTGATTAGTCTAAGTAAACCTTATGATTCCATCTGTTTAGTTATAGAAAACACAAAGTGTCTAGAGTCTGTTGAGCTGCAAGAAGTGGTTGCCATTCTGAAGAGTCAAGAGCAACGATTTGACTTGCATAATGTTGATACCACTGAGAAGGCTTTTGCATCATTCTCAGTGAGTCCAAAGGGGCAAAATAGAAGTGGAGTCCAATCTGGCTCATCAAAATTCCAAAAGAATTGGAATGCTAAGGGAAAGAAATGGGATTCGAAATCTCGATTCCAACAGAAACCTTTCACTAGTCCTGCACCAAATTCATATCAGTCACAGTCAATGAGTCAAGAGACTGTCAAACCACTGTGTAGAGTGTGTTCTAAGTATCATTTTGGTGAATGTCGATATAAGGGGAAGCCTAAGTGTTATAATTGTGATAGGTTTGGTCACTGGGCTAGAGAATGCACTGTAGGGAAGAGTGTACAAAAGGCAAATTCTGCAAATCAGGTGGAAGTGACAGGAAATCTGTTCTATGCTAATAGTGCAATCTCAGAGAAAAATGTCAATGGAAATTGGTACATTGACAGTGGTTGTAGTAACCACATGACAGGGAATGCTGATCTCCTTGTCGATATAAGAACAAATGTTGCTGGAAAGGTGCAAATGCCTACTGGGGTGTTAGTAGATGTTGCTGGAATGGGTTCATTGGAAATTGATACTAACAAAGGGAAGAAGTACATCAGAGAGGTCATGCACTTGCCAGGATTGAAGGAGAATTTGTTGAGTGTAGGTCAAATGGATGAGCATGGCTACTATCTAGTGTTTGGAGGAGGTTTGTGTAGTGTATTTGATGGACCTTCACTTGACAATCTTGTCATCAAGGTCAAGAAGAAAGAAAATCGTTGCTATCCTCTTTCCCTATTGCCTGACAATCAGCTGGTTCTGAAAGCAAGCATAGAACACTCTACTCGGACTTGGCACAGAAGACTAGGTCATTTGAACTTCAGAGGGTTGCAACAACTCAGTGAGAAAAATATGGTGCATGGTCTTCCATATCTAGAAGAAATCAAAGATGTATGTCAAGGATGTCAGTTTGGAAAGCAACATAGAGACTGGTTTCCAAAGAAACAATCCTGGAGGGCAAACTGTCCCCTGGAACTTATCCATGTTGATCTGTGTGGTCCTATGCAGAATCCATCCCTGGCTGGAAACAAATATTTCATGCTATTCATTGATGATTGTACAAGGATGATTTGGGTGTACTTTCTCAGATACAAATCTGATGCATTCAATTATTTCAAAAAATTCAAGTTAATGGTAGAGCTGCAAAGTGGTTTCAAAATTAAAAGTCTAAGGAGTGACAGGGGTGGGGAATTCCTATCTTCTGAGTTTACTAAATTCTGTGAAACTGAAGGCATTCAAAGGCAACTCACCATGGCTTATACTCCTCAACAGAATGGAGTGGTGGAGAGAAAAAATCGAACTGTGGTTGAAATGGCAAAGACTATGCTTCATGATAGAGGTATGCCATATGTTCTTTGGGCTGAAGCTGTACACACAGCTGTATATATTCTAAATAGGTGTCCTACGAAGGCACTTGGAAATACAACTCCTTTTGAAGCCTATAGTGGCAGAAAACCAGGTCTTGCACATCTCAAGATTTTTGGTTCCCTGTGCTATGTTCATATACCTACTGAGACAAGACAGAAGCTAGATGCTAAAAGTGTTAAAGGCGTATTTGTGGGTTATGCTACATGTGAGAAGGGATATAGAATATTTGATCCGTGTACTAACAAGTTAATCTTGTCAAGAGATGTGATTTTTGATGAATCTATGACCTGGAATTGGAAAGAAAGTTCACAAAGTTCAGCTGCTGCAACTTACATTCAGGATCAACCTGAGAATGTAGTTGGTGTGAATTCATATGAGATGAGTGTGATTGAAGGAAGTTCTCACAGTTCTAGTTCTTCTTCTCATACACAAGAACAAGTAAGTTGCACTCCTGAAATTGGAAAGCTGTCAGAAACTTTTGACCACACACCTCTAAAATGGAGAAATCTTGATGATATTTTTGCTCAATGTAATCTGTGTGTTATGGAGCCTGAAAGATATGCAGATGCAGCTCAAGATGAATCATGGTTAAAAGCAATGCAGGATGAGTTGACTATGATTGAGAAGAATGGTACATGGGAATTAGTAGATAGACCAACAATGCAGCCTGTCATTGGGGTTAAATGGGTCTATAAAACTAAATTGAATCTGGATGGCACAGTCTTGAAAAATAAGGCAAGGTTGGTTGCCAAAGGTTATGCTCAGAAACCTGGTTTTGACTATAACGAAACCTATGCTCCAGTGGCTAGACTGGACACTATCAGAACTCTCATTGCATTAGCTGCCCAAAAGAGCTGGAGATTGTACCAACTCGATGTTAAATCGGCTTTCCTGAATGGTGTACTGCAGGAAGAAGTATATGTAGACCAACCAGAAGGATTCACAGTGCAAGGCAAGGAAGATAAAGTGTATAGGCTTCATAAAGCTCTCTATGGACTGAAACAGGCACCTCGAGCCTGGTATGGAGAAATTGATGCATACTTCTCCCAGTGTGGTTTTCAAAGAAGTCTTAGTGAACCAACACTATATCAAGTCAAGGGGAGAAAAGGATATTATAATTGTGTCTATCTATGTAGATGATATTGTCTACACAGGTAGCAGCAATGAAATGTTGGACGAATTCAAAGAGGATATGATGATGAAATATGAGATGACTGATCTGGGTCTACTCCATCATTTTCTGGGAATGGGTGTCATTCAAACTAATTCCAGCATTTTTATTCATCAAAAGAAGTATGCTTTTTCTTTGTTGAATAAATTTGGGTTGAATGAATGCAAGCCTGTGTCTACACCACTGATTTCAGCTGAAAAACTCAGTAAGAATGATGGAAGTGGTCCAGCAAATGAAGAACAGTACAGAAAGATTGTGGGGAGCTTACTGTATCTTACAGCTACAAGACCTGACATAATGTATGCAGCAAGTTTACTTGCCAGGTTTATGCATTCTCCCACAAACAAACACTATGGAACTGCCAAAAGGGTGCTCAGATACATTAAGGGCACATTAGACTATGGTCTGGAGTATGTGAAAGGTACAAACTCTATGGTGATTGGCTTCTGTGACAGTGACTGGGGAGGATCAGTGGATGATAGCAAGAGCACTTCAGGATATGCCTTCTCTTTTGGCAGTGGGATTTTCTCTTGGGCATCAGTTAAACAAACATGTGTAGCACTTTCAATTGCTGAAGCAGAATACATCAGTGCTTCAGAGGCAACTGCACAAGCAATCTGGCTGAGGTTCGTACTGGAAGACTTTGGGGAACTTCAAACTGAAGCCACTCCATTACAGTGTGACAACACATCTGCAATTGCTATCACAAAGAATCCAGTGTTTCACCAGAAGACTAAACATATTGATCGAAGATATCATTTTATCAAAGATGCTCTGCAAGAAGGAATCATTGATCTAGTTTACTGTCCTACAAAAGAGCAGTTAGCCGATATCTTCACAAAACCACTGGCAAAGGATCGATTCAGCTATCTCAGAGGTTTGCTTGGAGTCAAATCAGCTCAAAGCTTAAAGGGGAGTGTTGAACTATAAGCCATGAGCTGATTAGTATTTGAGAATAATCCTGTTTTTAATTGTGTATTCACTTGTGCTTAGAAATTGCCAAGTGTAAGATCTAAATATGTAAGGCCATGAGTGCCATGTGTGATGATCCTAGCTATTGCTAGATGAGTGGCTGTGATCGTTTTATCTAGAAGGAAAAGATCCAGCTAAGCATTGTTAACAGAATTATTCCTTTTGCACGATTGTGTGTGCAGAGTGAGAAATATACTTTACAGAAAAGAAGAAAGCTTCCTCTGTGACTTGCAGAGAGCATAGCAATCATTTTCATTCTCAGTGCCTTCTTTTCTTCTTCTTCCATTCATACAAAACACTAACACATCATATATACGCATAGTTAGTTTGTTATTGGGACACAGAAAATCGATTAAACAAAATATTTATATGATGAGCAATAAGCAGCTAGATAAAAACTACCATGAATCCCTTGAGGTTGATATGATTCTCCTTGGATCTGTCAAAAACGAGCTCAGAAAGCTGTGGAGCATAATGCCCTGTAAAAAGGACATGCACATACAGAAGACTAAGATATATAGTTAATCAAAGATGCATGATGACACATACATATATTATATTATTATTTATATGTATGTATATGTACCTGCATAGCTCTCTCCAGAAATGTAGAAGTCATGGGACTTGTACTGTGGAAACCGTTTAAACCAGTTGATAAGAAAATTGTATGAATCCTCAGCTGGCAGGCATTTTAAGAAAGAAAATGGATGAGTCATAACTTGCAGATTCATAAGAAAATGAAAAATTGATAGACAGACGCATTAATCTATCAGATACCTGTAATTTTATCGTCAAGTTCCTCGATATCTTGACTAGTATTGGTGTAAGAAAATCCGACTCCAACGGGAGACTCCAAAAACAACAGATTGGCAGCTGAAATGAATTACGAACAACAATACGCGTGCATGGTTAATCATTCAGACTCCAAAAACAATAGATTGTAATTTTACTAAATCTAAATGCAATATTGTCTTTCATTCGAAAGTTGCAGTTAAGTTGGGAGCAATTAAATTACCATTGTTCCAGGTGTAAGGGTTGAACTTGAGCTTGGGGTCGGTGCTATTTTGAGGGAAGAAAGGGCCTAACTCCTCTGTGGCACCGTATCCAATTGATGAACATCCTGGCCCTGCATCCGCGTCATAATTTTTATTTTATTTTATCAATTAATCTAATTGCTGAAGACTAGATAGACAGTTTAGTGTTGTTGTGTATAGACTGGAGCGTATAGTATGTGACGAAAGCTACATCCAGCCGTTCATTTACCCGGTCCATATTAGAACTTTTAGGGCGTTCATTCATTTTTCATTAATATATCAAACGGCGAAAGAAGAATGCATATATGACATAGCTAGAAGGCTAAACATAACCAAATGGGCAATTGCTTTAGGCTGGGATATATGGTATATGGTCCAACCCTACTCCTTGCGTATAAATACATACACTTGACAGAATATAAGAAGAAAAATTCCCTCTCTAAGTCTATGAATAAATCTGTGATGCAATTGCAGATACTATCAATTAGGTAAAAGAAGACAGATAGAATACCAGTATTTAGTAATACACATATAGACAGCTCCATAACCAAATTCAGAAATCACACTTGGGGTTGAAACTTGAAAATATATATTATTCAAGGAATTAGGAATATATGTAATCCATCATTGTAGGGTTTGACAGCTCCTCCGATGGTCCGATGAGGATATGGAAGTTACACGCATGCCTGTACATATATTATTCTTTTCATGTGCATGCATGGTATCCTGATTTTCTAATATATGATATATCCATCCTAAGAACTCCGCCTCTATTATATTTTATGTGTTTAATCACGTTCAGATGAGATTTAGAAGAATTTTTTAATTTGAAAGTCTCCTTCTAATTGAACCCATCCATAGAAACAAAAACATAATTAAGCTCACTAGTATATTTAAATATGGAAAATAAGAAAATAAAAATGATGACAGGGAGAGAATGGATGACAATCGAATGCACAAGAAAAGGATGAAAATGTCATATTCTCTTTAGCTAGCATGACCATATATATATTTTAGTGATAAATGGCAAGAAACGAATAAAGTTGGACTTTAAAACTAATAACCTAGGTGATCATGAGAAATATATATGTATGCGAAAATATTTTTGAGCGAAAATTTTCTACCAAAAAAGAGAAATTTGTGAGTGAACATTTGAAGAATAATTACGACAGTTGTTTAAGGAGGAATTGTGTGTTAACTGGTAAGAAAGAGTGGTGTGGAAATGAAGTCATGAGTGGCAGTGACCGACGTACCTCCGTTAAGCCAAAGGAGGAGGGGTTTATCTTGAGGGTTGTTGGTGGCTTCAAAGAACCAATAGAAGAGTGCTCTTCCGTGAGTGTGGTTGACGGTAACATATCCCGTGTAATGCTTGAAGCTCACTGGAGGCTGACCGGGGAGTTCAATCACCTGGTCTGCCTTTTGCTGTCTCAGAGGATCATGACGATGATGCAGTCTAGCGCCTTGGGTCTGAGTAGCACAACATATGCTAAAGGCAAGCAAATAAAGAAGAAGAATATTCAAACGAAATGAAGAAGAAAAAGCCATTTAAGTTGGAACTTAGACTTGCTTCTCTCTATCTATCTCTCTAATATCTGCAGAAATATCCTTTTTATGAGGCGCTTCAACAGCACAATTGTAGGTAGTAGACTAGTAGTAATCCTAAGAGTCGGAATAGTCCAAAATCCAAAATGGTAAGGCAAGACGTACAGATCATTCATTCATATAGAATGAAACCCAGATCGTCTAGGCGTGTGGTTTATATAGTAAGTCCGGGTGGTCCAAAGACAGATAAGAATGCTAGTCTTTCCTATTGTTGCTATTGAAATTACAAAAACAAAAATATGATTTCATTTGGCATTATTATTTTTAGGCAAATGATTTTTACACTTCATTTTTCTTCACCTCTAGGTGTCTTGGAAGTACTATATGTAAATTGTAATTTAACCGTTGGATATTGAACAAATCAAGGGCTAGAATTAGAAGCAATGTGTACAGAATCATTATTATTATAGTGGCTTATGTTGCAGTACAACACCGAATAACCATGTCATAATACAACAGTTACCTTGCAGAGTTTTGTGAGTAAGTAGTATTAATCATATAAATTCTAATATTCAATAATTATAATTACTATGATTCTACACTACGTATGAAATATGTTTTTGAAGATATAAGAAATTAAAGTATCTCGGCTCTATCGCATGAGTCAATCTAGAAGTTGATTAATTATGAAAAATATGATAAATTATTTGATTCACCTGATGTCTAAATAAATGATTTATTTTACAAGTGAAGCTTTCTTACATTAAAAATTATCAAACCAAAATTTTCATATTTATAGGAAATTGCTTCTATAAGCGATACATGACTCAATGGAGCCATTTTATAAATAATCTCTCATGATCATTTATTAGCATTGAGCTTTTTTTTTCTTGGCTGGAACAAGTTATGATATTATTATATATGTCAATTGTATCGTAACTTTGAGGGAGTATGCCAATGCATTAATATACTAATAATATATGGTATAAATTGTCATTGCGTATTTGATTTTTTTTATTTTTTTTTTGTTTGCTTGCTTTTTTAGACTTAAACCAAAGGGACTCTTTGGGACTTGTCATATATATATTTTTTTGAACAAACAATTACACTAAAGAGGTGAGAGAGTGAACTTAGTCTCACAATCGGCTAGCAATAATGTAGTTCAAAATCACATTTGACAAGAATCGAATCTAAAACCTCTCACTAATTAAGAGAAATATCACTAGACCGTAATACTAAGTGATATAACTTGTCATTTGTATTAAACGCACAAATATTTCAAAGGAATTAACGTCACGTGGATATACCTTCAAGTTGAAGATGTCCTTTATTTTACATGCACAAAATCTAAAAGCTATTCCTAAATACAAGGTTCAAATTTGACACCATATTGCTGTCCTTGATGTGATCTGTGCAATATTAGTATATCACGATGGAGAGATTTGCGGTTTGCCTCAGTCAAATGCTTTGAATTGTAACCTCATTTTCTGATCCTGAGATCACATATTATCTGTATATTGTTTTGTTTCATGAATACATTTATCTGTACATATATACTTGAGACCTACGTAGTCGACAGCTATTAATGTAGCAATATTCAAATGGCCAAGAGCTCAAGGTGAACTAAAATTTATATTTATTCTCAAAAGAAAAAATAACGAGAAAAAGAATAATAGAGGTCAAACAATTTTATAGAGGCCAAGTGAGTTGTGAAAACTTGTTTTTATATCTCTATATTTATTGATGTTAGAGGTGTATGTGAAGAGTTTTGTTTAGAGACTACTGAATATGTCGTCAATCACTTGTCTATTTATTTAACTATAATTTTATTTTATATAAACCGATTTCCTCAATTTAATGATGACGAAGTAATTACATTTGTGCATGGCATTGGCATACTAACATATATCTCACAATCAAATTAGGTGTAGCAATGTTAATTGGCAACTTGCATTGGCTAGCTCAAATTTTAATATATATTTGGACAAATATGTAGGATTCCTAATTCCAAAAGTAAAAGGCTCTCCATGCATAATTGCACTTGTACCGATCAGAGAATTAAACACAATACACAACGAGCATATCAGAGCGTATCAAAATGCGACAGATGGCAGCTTATGGTTAGCCAAAAAATGCTGATCTGGAGAGAACGCCTCGGAGGAAAATGAAGTGTGGGAACTTTGATGGCCTCCTCCTCCTCTCATCGTTAGGAAAGTCAACCCCTTATTCTCCATACTCCATCATCCAACCAGGATAAACTAATATTTTAGAATATATTTACAAATTATGCAATGTGCCATTAATAGAAAATAAGTACGTTAATCAACACTTAAATAATAATTCAATCATTAACAACTATGTCATGTGATTTACAGAATATAGTTTAACTAAATGATCTCCTTAACATTACCCCATATTACATACATTCAATTTTGTTATTTCTAAATCATTGTTAGTAACCCAACTAATCTCCAATTAGTGATCAAAAGTTTGATATTATTTTAGACTTTTAATGCGTTTAACTTTATTTTCCAATTTTCTATCCTATCGAATGCGTGTGATTCATCCAAAGAAAATAATATGAAGTAGGAACAATTTACCCAAAAAGAGAAGGAAAGAGATATGCAGTAGGTAGACCTAGGAATATTCCAAGGAAAGCAAATAAAAATCATAAAGCTTACAAATTTCTTCCTTTGAATGGTTTGATCTTTTATTTTATCCAATCCTTTTATATAAACAGTTAGACGTTCAATTTAGACACTGATTTCAGATAAATCCAACTATTTATTTATTTATCTTACACGTTTGTTCTTTCCTTTTCTTCCTTCATCGGCATTTTTGGCATTTTACGATAAAAGAAATCAATTATCTCTCTATGGACCATGGTTGTCCCATGGGGTCCAATCCTCAGTGATGTTTAGGCCAAGCTTGTTCAGTGCTTACCTTGTTGAGGTCTCCGGAACCCCAAATAGATTGATGCTTGTTATGTACACTTTCGGGGTGGAATTACAATGTTATTGTTCTCATCGTTGAATGCACATAAACATACAGATGAAGCCGCCCACATTGTCTCTGTGCGTGCGAGCGTGTGTTGCATCCAAACAAGCAAACAGTACCAGTTCTAAAAGCTCAACAACCTGCTCACATCGTTTTGCTTGGTTTTTACTCAAAGAAAGACCATCACATCTAAATCAAACGAAAACAAATGGGAAAGACCATCGCAACCAAAACATAAACGAACACTTTGTATGGTTGGACCTGTCACATGTGAGCATGCGGTGAAATTGACGGAGCCAAAGCCTTAACTTTGAGCATCATGATTTCAATAAATAAGAGAAGTAATATTCATCAGGTAATGCAACTATGCAAGTCTGGATAACCTTCAGCCTATCAGATCTTTAATATCAAAAGAGAGAAAATTTCCATACCAAGCAAGAACCAAAAGTCACTCATGGTCAGGAAAGAACCTTTGAACCCAATACATAAAACACAAGATGCCAACTTTAACAAAACTTAGCTCCACCGTCTTCTGTCTTCCTCCTCATCAACAGGAGTATACCACTCTGGCCGACGTTAGAGTTGCTCAACCTATAGTTCAGAAGCATTTCTTCATCACAAAGTGCCCTTGTAGCCACCAGGACAAGACTCTTCAAAACAGGAACATCTGAGCCGCTATTTTTCGAACCTCCAAGCTTGAACCATAAGCTTCCACATCTTTTCATCTTTACTTCTTCTGCATCTCCAAATATTACATTTGGAATATAGACCCTTATTTCTTTTTCGCTCAGTGGGAAGTCATAAGGGCAAACCATAACATTTGGAGACATATCCTTTGCCGGATGGTTGCAAAATGAGCCAAAGCTAATGGGTTCCTCCGCTCTATTACGTCGCCACTTTTTCCCAATTTCCTCTGATCCAAAGGCTTACTTAGGACTCTCCAGATCCAATCTCGACCTTTCTCATCTCCCTGCTTACTAGGCCTGGTTTCTGGTACGGTTAAACCATCCCAAAAGTCACGGGTTTCAACCCCATAACCCCAAGGTTGAGCATTGATCACAGTTCCATCATACCTTGTGATCAAATATGAGTTTTGTGCATTAACCCTTGGGTATCCAGGAATGTAGCGGTAATACGCTGGGGAATATACTACACCAGGGTACACGGCCACCACAGCACCAACATCACATTCACCATTTAGAAATAACCCTTGTCCGGCTTCCTTGTGGGGTATTTGAGAAGGCTTGATACCAAGCGTGTAGCCAATGAGATCTTACAACTTTTGAGAAACATCAGTGCGCTCTAATGGCCATGTCTCGGGCACCTCTGTACTGAAAATCATAACTATCAGCATAAACGCAAGTTTAAGCTAGTAGTCAATGTTCCGAAAAATTGCTGAGAACAGAGGAATAAGAAGCCAAAAAAAAAAGCTCACCATGATGTTTAACTGGTGGACCACTCCTACCAATAGCAAAACTAAGACCACTTCGTCAAGTAGCAGCATTTGATTGTTTAGGTGATTCGGTTCCCTCATTTATCTTCTTAACATCAGGGAAAAGAACTTCATCCATAGACGCGCAGAAGTCTTTAATTTGGAGACGAATGTTTTCTTGGACTTGTATCTGTTGATCAGCAATGGAGGCTTTATTAGCCATGTCAATGATCTCGTCCACATCTGCCTCATCCGCATCCCTTCCCAAGCGATTGTAGCTGGCAACATCCAATATATTCAAAACAAAAAGTAGCGCAGCATGCACAGTATACGAGTGAGAAAGGTAGCTCCAACAAGAAGTCAATCTAAATGTATTTCTTTGGAAGCGGAAGGGCTTTAGTGGAGCAAAAATTAGTAGTTTTGTTTTCATATGGGAAGATGATAATGTGAGAGCAACCTGGAATATAGAAAGAGGCGATTCATATCTGCCTCAAACTGCTGTTGCCTTGGATTCCTATTAAACATGGGTTGTTTAGCAAGAGCTAGTTTTCACACCCTGAAAATAAAAACAACACAGCGTTAATTTTCACATATAGCATGGCGGAGTGCGGTAGCCCATTTGGAAGTCCATGGAGACCAAATTCCGACAGCAAATCCAACTGTAGACCCTCTGTGGGACAACCTGACCTCGGCATGAGCATATCTAATGCCATTCCTTGACAAGGGATGTTAGGAACCTCAAATCGTAAAGTTAGTTCCTTAACAAACAACTAGTAAGGAAAAGGAACGCCATTTGGATAGAATTGATTGGGATGAATACTTCCACTCTCAGTACAAGTCAGTCATTAGTAGACAGACACATAGCAGACCAGACGACGGAGGAAGGAAGCTCCGAACTCCGAAGCTGCTGCCAACTCCTAATTTCGATCCAACAAAACCAAAAAAACCAACCAAACCAAATAACACTAAATTGAGTTCTTCAGTGTTACGATCTGATGGTATCCTCTTCGTTTAGAAGTGAGAGGTCTTAGGTTCGAATCTCATGGATGGTGAATTCGATTCCAAATTAAGCTGCCTATTAGTGTAGCTTAGTTAGAATTTCCTCCTCTCTTAGTGTAAAAATATCGACGTACTAGAAGAAGAAGAAAAAAAAAAAAAAAAAAAAAAAAAAAAAAGAAGAAGAAGAACACTCAATTGAACTGGGCCAGCCCTAAAGAATAAGATTAAGGTGGGCTAACATTAACCAATGGAAATTGAACTGGACAAGGATTCCTGTGTAAAATTCTTCAAATGAATGGGCCACATTAAACAGACTAGATCGGTTCTTTTTTTCTTGTGGGGAGGGGGGGTTGAATTATTTTCCTTGTGTTAAGTTCTCGGGAGGACGGCTTACAAATCTCCAATCTCGGGAGAGTCGAACCACATATAAGGTTGTGTGCGTTATATGATCCTTCTGTGCGTGTTCTTGGCAAAAAGGGAGATGTATAATTCTTTTACCCTTTACACATTTCATATATGAATTAAATTGGTGAATTTATTATGCATGTATAAATTAAAGCCTTGATACATTGATAGACATATACTGCTTGTACCTGTATATATATTGGCTTTAGTTAATAATTCATTTGATGAAAAACACACTACGTATTATTAATAAACTTAATTATGAGTCATATTACACCTTGTTGGCTGTAAACCTGCAGATGCGAGGATCCCTAGCTAGCCAGTAGCATCCTATTCTTAGCTCAAAGCCTAAAAGCGAGAAGAAGGGAGGCCGTGGGTAGTGTTGGGATTGGGATGGAGGAAATGGGTAAATAGAGAAAGAGACTGACGAGGTCCAAACACCGGGACTTGGTGCCCTGCGCCCCTCACCGTCGCAAATGTCAGGCCGCCCTCGTACGTCTCCGCCCACCCGGCCACTTGACCCTTATCAAACCATGCTTTCCATGGTTGCTTTACTCTTAAACCCATCTTCTTTATGCTGTACCTCGTTGATGTTACCGGCACCCTCCCATCCGTGTCACCGCTGCATGCATGTAATTCATTAGGTTTTTAATTATTATTTATCACAAATCACAAGTTATTACTGCAATTATCATTAATTAAGTTCATTACCTATAAATCCAAATACGCAAGCCAGCTTTCAAGAGCTTCTGAATGATTGGCAGTACAGTGTCAGGCGAGTCCTTCCATTCCTTTATGACGCCACTGCATGCCACAAGAAGCAACAAATTAGATACCATATATTATATGTTACGTAAAGAATTACTTCAACATGCATCATCTTAATTTCTAATGCATTGCATTTTTCAAGGTAACTTGAGAAAATTACCCCACATGCAAGGACTGAGCTAGGCAGTTAAGGCCCACTGGAGGCAAATTGCCTCATTGACTTTTGTGTAAAAATCAAGATGCTTATAAAGAATTCGAATTTATCATATTTAAATACTTATTAGTTGAAATTTTTAAATAAGATGTATAATAAGTTATTATTATGAAAAAATGTCTACAAGTTGGCAAGAAAAGTAAAACACTTAAATTATATACTTTACTATAATTATTTTTTTTTCTTTCTAAAGTTTGAAGGTTAAGGTCGCTCCCACTAGATAAAGTTTCTAGCTCTGTTCCTGTCCACATGCACACATATCTATCTACAATTTAGGTATTAGGGTTTCTTGCATAACATATCAAACACTCAATATGTTGCGGGAATAAACAATGCCTAATTTGAGGTGGGAAATTAAAAAAGCAAGTGAAATTCGAGAATGTTATAATAACTGCGATCCCATACTGGAAACCAATCCCCACCCTAGCTAGAGTTGTAAAGGAGGGTCCTCCGGCTGCATGCAACTTTGTGTTTGTTATTTAGAGTTTTGACAAATTACTATCACCACAGGCACACATCCCTACCAGTACCGGTGCCGGTACCAGCTTTCTTGCTTTGGTATCAGATGATTAATTTGTTCTGACTAATATATAAAAGAGACAAATATGGAGGCAAAACATAACAGCTAGCCTGACTGGTTTTAGGTGGGAAGGGTACAACCATGGTTAAGGAATTGAAAACGACGTGTCGACAATTTGTAATCTTCTAGATATCTATCTGTCTTATTAATATTTATCAAATATTTTAATTTTTTGTGTTTTATTGGGGAGAAAAGAAAACAAAAGGATAAATGTTAATGTAAGATATATTTCATTAATTATGATCCGGGCCTTGTGGCAGTGTGGAAACAGAAAGAAAGCTCCAGTTCGTTGATTTCTCAACGTGCATGTTTCTTCTAGTCAATTCTTGAAATTAACTTTCAGCTACCTCTCTGATCTCTCTCCCCCTAAATTCCAGAGGGATCGAGAGAAAGATAAATGGTATATACATACATGCATGAATCAAATTACATATGTAGATAATAGTTACCTGCACGGGGAGTAAGGATAGGAAAGGTTAGTAACATTTGCATGTAGGGCCTTCTGAACATCCTTTCTGTTGAAATATTGCTCAACGTAATCCTCTATGCAGGGATCATACCCTGATGGTAGCCTCTGCCAAAGCTCCTACACACACACACACACACACACACACACACACACATTTTACATAATTAATTAACCACACCAAAATTACATAACAATTTAATTTATTAGTGTCACTAATTACTGGTTATCTAATGAATAGATTAGATAAACTCGTTCGACAATGATTGATGACTTACATGTTGAGTAAGCAGCCGAGGTGCAACATTTTTCATGAAATTATTAATCCTTGTTGGTTTGGGAGAAGTAGTAGTAGATGGAGATGGATCAGTGAGGCAGAGGGGTGCATAAATACCGTAGATGTCAATTTGAGAATAATTTTGTAAGAAGGCTCGAACGTGATCATTGCACTCTTCTGTTTGGTTGTCATCGTGTACGACATCACACTTCTTGACTAAATTGTCGTATAGCGTGTCCGAGATTATGGCATGACTCCATGCATAATCAAACATCCCACTGTTGTCTGTCGGTCCATTGATCACAGCATTCCCAATCTAATTCAATAATTAGTTATCATGCGATGGAATGATTAATTATAGCTAGATAAAGAAATGAGTTAACTATGTATGTAGGGTTAGGGTTCATGCAGGCTGGCTCACCATGAAACCTTGAGATTTATGAAAGACGAGGAGTCTGATGGGGATGATGATCTGGTGGTTCGATTGTTTCGGTCGTAGATGAGGTCAGCAAGCTGGGGAACGTAATGGCCAGCATAGCTCTCCCCAGAAATGTAGAAATCGTGGGGTTTGAAGGTTGGGAACCTCTTAAACCATTCCACCAGGAAAGCATACGTATCAGCTGCTGTGATTCCATCGCCCAGCGTACGCAGATCCTTGGAGTTGTTTGTGTAAGAAAACCCTACTCCAACAGGTGACTCCAGGAACAGCACATTGGCAACTGATCATCACCATCATAAGTATTCAAGAAATCAAGCTTATTATGCAATATTAATTAATTTGATGACATTAATTATTTAATTAATATAAACCTTTGTTCCAGGAGAAATCGTTAAGAATTAGGGTTCCATTGCTTCGAACAAGAAAGGGGCCCAGTTCTTGTGCAGCTCCATAAGCTACAGATGAGCACCCAGGTCCTGAAATATACATAATTATAATTAATTAAATTAGAGCATATCTTAATTTTTTTTTCCTGGTAAATAAATCATTGACACAGATCAGAGATAGATGATAATTGGATGATGGAAGATGGCGTCACACTCACAATACACTGTTTGTAATACACACGAACCAAGGTGTGTAAATATAAGTTATACTACAAAATTAGTATTATTGGACCAATATATCATTGTCATGGACCATTATTAATCAAGCAAAAAGGGTAAAAAACTGCCTAAAATTCAAAAGGCTAGATGACCTAGCTCTCTCTCAATTTCAGTAAAAGCACAAAAATGCGAAGAAACAAAGAGAAGAGGGGACTTTAATAATCTTAATTTTAATTGCATGCCGAAATTAGTAAAACGAATCAAATTGTCCGGCAGTGACTGGTGAGTAGGGATAGATGACTAAAATAGGGCATTGAGTATTGCATTTGCATGCGCATAGCCTTCCAGAACCAGGCTTGCCACTGTAACAAAGAAACAAACAAATTGAAGTGGTGGTGGGGGTGGAAACCGAAAAAGAAAGAATAATGAATAAAAAGGGTATATTGCTATTAAATTGGACGATGAATTAGAGCACACGGGAGAATAATGGGCTCCCAACACGACTCATTAGTTACAGAGCAATTCGCATGACACAAATTTTTTATCACATGTTGTTTTAATATACTATATTAAACCCAAACATTAGATTTCTCTCGGTTCTGTAAAATAATTTCGGCCAAAAGAAATATAACATTTAATAATAATAGGAGCAGAGGCCTGGCAGTGAATCGGTGATGGGCACAGGCAGGCCAGGCAATAATATCCCATTTGCATGCCATGCCATTGCCAATAATATTTGAGAGCCACATGTGATGGGCATCTCTATCTGCTTCAAGAGGGCAGCTCTTTTATAAAATAAAGACTAGACTCACAACTTCTTCGTAGGGTACACCGGTGAATCAGTTGACACTGCTTTTTATGAATGGCTAAATTTTACTGTTTAACACGCATAATTTTGTTATACACTAAAATAATATATATATATATATATATATATATATATTAGCGTAACTGCGCTATTTATCATGATTCAACCATGTGATTTTACTTAAAATCTTCCCAAGTGAAAATTGAGGCCAAAGACTGCTTCCTTCCTGTATAATTATCACGTATTAGGACCCGGGGGAATGCACTTCTTGGGTTGGGTACTCGCAGGACGGCCGTTAAAGGTAACGGCGGGGCGGCAAGTATTCCTTACTGTAAAAAGTTTTTGACTTTGTTGGAAGTTTGATGGGATGGGATGCTCCCTGCCCTCTGTTCTGTTCTCTGCTCTGCTATGCTCCAGAGACTCCAGAGACTCCAGACCCAGAGACGACCAGAGAATCAAGTCCGTTACTGGACAGAACAGATGGTACTTTGCCCGTCTGGTGTGCTCAGACTCAGAGTGGAGAGAGATCACGGCAAACCGGCTCTCGCCGTCAAGGATAACGGAAAAAGTCACCATTCTAAAATCTAATGCTTTTTTCTGATTTCTTACGCCTATTTTGTCTTAAAACTCTTGTAATTTGGCACACGAACAAATTGTGCCTCTCAACTCAACAGACGCCAACACACAATTCAAAAAGAAGATAAAGAAAATCAAATGAAAAAAATATGAAAGGAAAAAGTGTAACCTCATCCAACCCAATGAAATGCACATGAAAAATAATTATATTAAAAAGAAAAAACATTTTTAAAACATCCTCTATCTTATCATTTTATTTTTTTTAAATTCTATAAGGCATAGCACAAGTACATTAGATGATTAAATTTGTATTATTGTGTTTTGACAATCTTAATCTAACTGCTCAAAATATCAATGTGTCTCATATATTCATACAGAAATGTATATCGGCCCTAGCAAAATCCAAAATAAAAAACAAATTTGATTGGAAGAGAGGGAACAGACCTCCATTAAGCCAAAGGACGAGCGGTTTTCGAGATGCATTCTCTTGGGCTTGAAAAAACCAGTAGAACAAGGCCTTCCCCGAATTGGGAAGTCGGACGTAGCCGGCGTAGTGCGGGAATGAAACCGGCGGCTGTCCGGGCAAGTTGGTGACCCTGTCACCTTCTCCCAGTAGTCTCTGCACTTCAAATTCTTCATGTTTCACAGCATTGATCACAGGAAAGAGTAGTACTAGACACAATATCATAACTATGTTCAACAGATTAGGATTAAGAGCCATTGGAGAATCTCAGCACAACACACTCAGACACACAGAGACAGAGACTGCTAGCAACTACTACTGCTGTCCACTGATTGTATATATATTAATATTGTTCTAATTAATTTGGGTGCTTTTTGTGTGATTGAGACTCCGACTCCGAGGGGGGAAGACCGAAAGAGAGAGAGGGCTGAATCTTGAATGGGATAAAAAGTAGAATGCAGTTTGTGTCCGTTCGATCAGACAGACAGCTTTTTATATATTTAAAAAGGAATGGCCAAGGGCCAATCAAGTGGGGGGACTTGGGGGAAGGGGTGGCGGGCTTTGGGGACATCCCATCTTGGTAATTACATTTGATTTCTCACTACTTGTGCTTTTCTTTAGTTCCCTTTTTCCTTTCGTTTTTGCAATATCCTTTTTCTTTTCTTTATTTAAATGTTTTATTTATTTTTTTCTAACAATGACTAACCATAATAATTAAATTGAATATGAGAGAGTGAAGTCATATTTTCGTTCATTATTATCAGTACCATTAGTATTTGTTGTTTGAGTGTTGTTGCAGGCAATAAGAAACGACTCGTGGAAGGAACAATCAAGAGTTGCGCCAAAAGGGTAAGGAATGCTAAGATTGCCACATGTATCCGAGCAACTAGGTTTTGTTTGACCAAATGCTGCTTGCTGCTGCCGCCGCTTTTCCTGTTAAAACATGGCCGTGATCATCAAACAACAACTCCAACTCGGAGGAGCAGCTGATTTCTATTACGAGTCATGACTAACTCTTCATGCATACTATTCTGATTTCTGTGTAAAGAACAACTCTACCCTCTACACAAATAATGCACGCGGCTTAGTTAATCAACATTGAACCTTTTTTTGCGACCAGTCCAGGCTATCCATACCCTATATGATTTCCCGTTGAATTAATGGAAATTTAGAAACCGTGGAATCAAAGTAATTGTGATATCAGAAAGATTACAAAAATCACGACCAAATTAATCAAAATCTTGAAGAACGTAGGAATGACTGTAAAATAAATATTTTACTGTAAACGATGAAAAAAAACCAATTAATTACGGGTATTTTTTAGCTTTGCCTTATCTATACGAAAGAATTTTTGGAGATTGACTTATATACACACAAATTAAAGAAGGGAGCTTTGATGAAAATAGTATGGGATAAGTTTATTTTAACAAAAAACTATCCTACAACTTCATTTAATGAAAATGACTTAAAATTTAATAAAAAATACAAAAATTTTAGTGAAAAAGACAAAAGTTCAATATAATAAAAAAAATAATAAACAACTGACGCGCTGGACCGGCACTTGTTTTTAGCAAAGGGATATTTGAACCAATTTTTTTCTTTACGCATGAATAGCATGAGACGCTTGGTGGGTCATTGGTCACGGAAAAAGAACTTGACGGCAAATTCTTTGTATCGTTTGATCAAATAACAAAGGAAGCAGCTTAGCTGCGGATCAGAAGCGACATAGGTGCAATTGCACACTCTTTTTGCTTACGTTTCTTTTTCTTTTTTTTTTTTTTTTTTTATGATTTGCTTGTCCTTATCATCAAACAAAGTTTTTGACTAAAAAGTGAAAGTTTTAAAATTATTTTCATTAGTTTAATAGAGAAACCGATTGACCTCTATTGACCAAAAACATTTACCTTATGATATGGCGGATCTTGATTAGCTAGATGATCATGGTCGGTTGGGAAAACTACCATTTGAGAGTATTAGGATTTATTCGGGCTCCTTAGCAATATTCAATATGTTGGGCCTCAAAATTTTCTTGGTGATGGTATTTAGCCCAAAATTTATGTGTCCACCCAAATACGCACTTACATTTGGGTTACGAAAACCCTAGCCTTGAAGCCCACTGCTGTGTCACCATTGATTAATTAGTGTTCTCTAAACATTCATTTTTATTTTATTCTTTTACACCCATTTTTCTTGTTTAATGGTTTTCTTTTCAATTTGGAAATTCCTGCTGATAGCATAATTTTTTGTTCTACGTGTGACTTTATTTTATGAAGTAAAATTTGGACTATAACCAAAAGCAATATGAGGAACAGTTGTGAAATTTGGATGAGCACGATAAAGTGAAATTGAATAGTCGCGAAATTCTTTAGTCGTTGGTTACCACGTTTTTTGTTACAAAATCCTACTTGTGTTAAAAAAAAAAAAAATTTATTTTCCTTAAAAATTGCTAAGCTCTTTGTGGCAACTTTATATATGAGTATAATGGCCTTTTTACTTCTAAACAAAATGGTGTCCACAGACGAAATTTAACTTTACAAAAAACTACTCTTAGGATTAAGGTTGATGAAGCGACCTAGCTACATCAACCAGTCCCTAACCCAGTTTTAATAGTTATGTTTATAACTATAAAAATTAGTTTTCAAAATATATGTTAATTTAGGTTAAGTTATAAGTTAACTAACCCATCATCGAACAGAGCCAACACACAATTTTGAAATATAAGTGGTCTGCTTTCCCCACGTATGCGTGTGCAATTTTCCCACTAATTAATTAGAAATTACGTAGTATAAAAAAATAGGAGACTTGAGAAACGAAAACTGTAGAAAATTAGATATAGTTGCATCTTAGGTTATCTGCCGCATCCACTTCTCAACCTCCACACTGGATGATCTCCACTCCAAAACCAAAAGTTATCTTCCCTTTGGCCGCACTGGAAACGCGTCGACCTTTTTATTTGATTTCTTACCCCACTAAATAAACAAAACACACAGACCGACCTACATTCTTTGCTTTAAACCTCAAGTCTTCAAGAGACGAGAGATATATACCATATTCTCCAAATTCACACCAGCTAGTAATAAATCTATATTCACACTACCTAGATAGAAATTTTGCATATTTCCTAATGTGGATATGTAGTTTTTGAATCACTACTATACGTGAGATCAAACCTTACGCACCAATTTTGTGTGTGACATCTTTGTGTCTTCTATCATTGATTGACACCTGTTAAGTTCATTGCAACAAAGTTAAAGAGGGTTAGGTTTATTAATACATGTCAATCAATAATAGGTGCAGAAGATTTGATTTCAAAATACATTGTGTATAACGCCCTAAAAGAATATTTCGTAAAGAGTAATGCTACACTTATCACGTTTTCTATACTATATTTGTATCACTTATTTAATAGAGATAGAGTCTGCCAACACATGTGAATCCCATATCAATTAGAAAAATGACACAAATGTGGTAAGAACATTTTTTTTTTTCCTTGAATGGAAATCGGCTCAAATGAAAGGGTGGCAACTACGTCTGATGCCCAGAATACATTTCAGCTCACCAAACCGAAACCTATTGGGTAAAAAAGTAGAAAACATGCACGCCAAGAAAACACAGATCATGAATCATGACCTTCCTCCACCCATATAACACATGACCTCCACCGTGCCACTCCTCAACCTAATTAAACCAATATTAATAAACCACACACTCTCATCACATAGGCTCTCCTCTAATTCCAACAACATGATCACCACTCCTCCTCACCCTCCTCATCCCACCAATAATCTCACCTCCCTCCTCTCCCCCTCCTTCTCCGAGACTTTCGTGGCCAAAATCTTTGATTCGCGGCAACTCTTTTTCCTTCACCACATCCAAATCTTGGAGCTCTTTCTGGCTCTATGTGTTTTCATTACCATACACTCGTTGAGGCAGAAGAAGCACCATGGCCTACCCATTTGGCCGGTGCTTGGTATGCTACCCTCTCTCTCTTTTGCCGTACTTGGGCTCCAAACCAACCTATATGAGTGGCTTTCCCAAGTTCTTTACCGCCAAAACGGCACGTTTCTATTCCAAGGCCCTTGGTTTAGCAGCCTCTTTTCTGTCATCACTTCCGACCCTCGTAACTTGGAGCACCTTCTCAAGACCAAGTTCTCCAATTTCCCCAAAGGCCCTTATTTCCGAGACTCACTTCTAGATCTTCTCGGGGATGGCATATTCAACGCAAACGACGCGACATGGCAGCGACAAAGGAAGACGGCTAGCATCGAGTTCCACTCGGCTAAGTTCCGGCAACTGACGACCGATTCGTTGTTTGAACTTGTCCACGCTAGGCTTTTGCCCGTCTTGGAGGACTCCATCAAACACTCGGCCGCAATCGACCTCCAAGACATTCTTTTGAGGTTAACTTTTGACAACGTTTGCATGATCGCGTTTGGGGTCGACCCTGGTTGCTTGCAGCCCGGGTTACCCAAAATACCATTTGCTCAGGCCTTTGAGGACGCGACAGAAGCAACACTTTTGCGCTTTGTGACCCCAACGTGCTTGTGGAAGACCATGAGGTACTTAAACTTGGGTGCAGAGAGGAAGCTCAAGAGGTCCATAAGAGAAGTGGATGAGTTTGCGGATGACGTCATTCGGACAAGGAAGAAAGAGCTCCCACTACTACTTTCTTCCACCAATAATTCTAATGCTTCTAATGATGATGATAAGAAGAACAAGCATATTAGATCAGACTTGTTAACGGTTTTTATGGGTTTGAAAGACGAGAGGGGGGAGGCGTTTTCGGACAAGTTCCTGAGGGATATATGCGTCAACTTCATACTTGCAGGGCGAGACACGTCATCGGTGGCAATGAGCTGGTTCTTCTGGCTGCTTCATCAGAATCCGGAGGTGGAGCACAAGATTCTTCAAGAAGTATGCCGGATTGTGGGCGGAAGAACATCATCCGATCGCGATCATGATCATGAAAGTAAAAATAATGGCGACGACGATGAAGCAGTAGTATTCAAGCCAGAAGAGATAAAGAAGATGGAGTATCTTCATGCAGCTCTATCAGAGGCTCTAAGGTTGTACCCTTCAGTTCCACTAGATCACAAGGAGGTAAGTTCAGTTTATTAAATCATATGCACTTTAATTATTTATTTTCTGTTTTATAATTAGTAATTTACTCAAATTAACCATTTTTAAGTGCATGCATGCCTGCCATGTTATGGGGCCTTGTCATGCCTCACACATTCATCAACTAATCATATAATTATAAGCTTATCATGATATAATAGTGGGATAAAAATTGTTCTCCAATTCGTATGAATCTTGTAATGTATTGATATGTAACTTCTAATAATTTTATTTTGACGCAAAAAATTGACATACTTTTTAAGAAATACAAATGTATGTGGAACTCACATATATTAGAGAATATCAATACTTACGTTAGAGTGGTGTAAAAATAGCATTACTCGTAATTTTGGTCAGCAATGACTACCTAGAGGGGTCTTAATTAATTTATGAGATTCTTGTTTACCTAATTGGCCAAGGGAACTATTATTAGCATTCCAAAAATCTCCTTCTACACTCCTCACAAATGTATTTTTCTTTCTAATTATAGAAAGTTTGGAGTGCCAAATGAGATTTTTGAAGTGCTAATAACAATTCCCTTGGCCAACTCTGTCTACACATATTCATTGGAACAATTGTTGCGTGTTAGGAAGATTGCAGAGACTAGGGCTGGTTTGGTATTGCTGTGCTTTAAAAAAAAGCTGCTTCTGCTGTGCTGGGAGAATAAGCAGCTGTGAAATAAAGCAGCAGAGTGTTTGATATTTGTAAAAGTGCTTTTGTAAAAAAAAAAAAGTAGTATTATAGTGTTTGGTAAACTTTTATGTAAAACAGATGTGAAAAAAAGCCGGTTTT